GCACGTTACAATTATTTTCAAACAAACACGCACAAGTACTTTCTGACTCACTTTTTAACGTTTTAATCTTAAATTCTACTATAAAATCACTACTATTTTCTATAACTGTTAAGGGGACCGGCACTGTACCTCCTTATCACAGGCTCATCTGTAACCTTTGTAGGTGGACAGTACTACACCCACTATTATTGCATTCATCATCGTCATCATCAACAGCCTTTAATAGTCCACTGCTGGACATAAGCCTCTCCTTAGAAAGGAGGTTTTACTATACCACGCTGGCCAGACGGGTTGGTATAGGGTTTGTGTCAAGTTTTCCTTCTCTCTGTTGTGCTGCTGTGTTCTGCGTAATTTTTTCCCTTAGTCGGCTCTTACGACACCCACGGGATGAATAGGGGTGGTGACACTCTGTATGCTTAATCCGTCACCACACGGACCTTTATTGCATTAAGTATGTAAAACTACATGTATCCTACACTTGTAAAGCCTATAGTCATAATTTTGGAACATAAAGATTATCTTATATATAAAATTCTCGTGTCACAGTGTTAGTTACCATACTCCGAAACGGCTGGATTTTTATGAAATTTTTCATACCCCTAAATGACATGGGTGAGACCCATCCCTTTTTTCAATATTTCATAGAAATAATGTATATGGCAAAACAACGTTTGCCGGGTCAGCTAGTTATTATTATAATTATTTACAAACTTATTACCAACATAAGTGTATCTATTAATAAAATGTTAACACCGCATGCTTAGAATATTATGAAGTACCTAGTAGGTTTACAGTTTAAATATGAAATAAATCTAAAATAAAAATAAAAATATTGACAATAACAAATTAGCAACTTAGTATGATGAATAATAATAATATTGTAATATTGTACCACATTCACACAACGCCATCTAGTCACAAACTAAGCAGAGCTTGTAGTATGGGTACTAGACAACTGATATAAATACATACATACTTTTTTTTTGTAAATATATAATTATTATACATATAAGCACCCAGACCAAATCAAACATTAAATGTTCATTCACACAAATGTTTGACTTGAGCGGGAATCGAACCCGCGACCTTTGGAATAGCAGTCCGTTACATAAACCACTACGCTAATAAAATGAATTTAATACAATTTCATCAATACATTCAATTTATAAATTACCCATCCTATTATAAAAGTTGACAATAGTACTAAAAAATTTGGCTAAGGTTATCGCTATAAATATCTACTATGTCACTGTAGCCGCCAATACAAACTGAACAGATGACAATTATCAGTAAAAATCAATCACTTACAATATCATTGTGCTCCACACTTTTATTCTCACCCAGATTATTGTTAATTTGCATAGGTTTTAATTGTTATTTTTTTCTCTATTAGTGCTAGATGACCGTTCTTTACATGCTTGTATGTAACAAAAGCCATCTAGGTGTAATTTAATTACTCATTGCTATAATTGTAAGTGGTCCCTGCGTCATTTATCACTGCCTGAGTGTCCTGGGTTATGGTTTAAGCTGTGTGTCCTTTTTTTCTCTGCTGCTCTTACCACTAATATTCCGTTTTAAATATAGTCATATACCTAGTATACGACAAAGAGTCCAGCCGTCGTAAATTGAAAAAAAAAACCGCCATTATAGTTCGTTATTTATAAAGATAGCATGACTGTCTCGTCCAGCCGCACCTGCCCAGCCAAGGTTAACGAGTTCACCCCATTCTGTGACGCAACCTGAAATGGGAGAGTTCATATACTCTTAACTTTACTTACTTAGTTATATTCATAGCATATTTGCATTTTACTATTATACCATCGATATCTTCGATTCCTACGATTTTTCTCAATTGACTTACTTTAAACTTTATCGAGGTTCGGGACCAACAAAACTTCTTCTTTGTGTCACATAATGGTGTAATCTGTTGTTACTGCAATGTATGTATTTTCTTTGTTGTGTGTTCCAGAAGACAAAAATGAACCATACTCATAAAAGCGTAGTATTTTAATTCTGAAAACAATTTCTGTAATTCTCATCCAGCTACCTAAAGTGGAGGAGATACTAATAACCGATTGCTACATCATACTAGCGATAAGTTAACTACTTATACTCGTAAATACATCTTTGTACCATTACAAATAATCATCACCTACTCATGAATTCCATGTCTAGATAGTACTAGTCCTGAAATGGTCAGAGCAAATGAAGCTCTCGCACGTGTTTATTACATATTTGGCTGTTCGTGACGCCCGCTGTCAGCGTGTAAGCTTTTTGCGCTTTATTTCTTAGTATCGAGAGTCACTTATCTCTAATTCCAACTAAGAGTGCCTCGACTAATTATAATATTTTCAGTAATAACTTCATGACATTGCTATTCACCAGAGTTCACGCCCGCGTTATAATTACTTAGACTTCTTGTGAGATTTGGCATTGAATTTTTTAATATACAATAATTAAGTAGATTTATATGTTATTTACCTACAAGTTATTTGTTTATCTGTGTGCACTCTCATTGTTTGATAATTTTCAGTTTATTATACATATGAAAATGTTTAAAGATTGCACTGTGGTTTTATGTCAATAATAAAAGCGTCCAAAACACAAATTAAAAAAGAATTCAAGCTTATTCAAGACTCTATGAGAGCTCGTTAGCAGCCCGTTCATTTGAAAATAGGACTTGACCTAACATTGATCTAGTTTCTGACCGTATCGGAATATCAAACATAGTGGTCTTTCAATATTGCGATATTCACAACGTAATGGCAACCGTGTCAATACATAGATCGATCAGTGTGGTGGAGAATTGTTACGGACAAGTGTAAATAAATCCCCTATTTCCAAAGCTACAATACTTCCAGCCTCTCTGTCACAGATTACTAAAAAGTACGATGCTTAAAACAGTTTTACAAGATATTGAAATAAATCGCAGCTGGACGAATACATAAATTACAATTTCGACAGTGCCATATAAATCAATATTTATATAGTAAAAAAATACATGTTAATGTTACGAAGCAGAAACTTTAAGTGGCATTTATATTACATGCTTCTATCTATGTCTTACTATTAGCACGCAGAACTTAATATGATCGTGCTATGCTTTTTATCATTTCACCTGATAGAAATTGTTAAATTGGATTAGTGAGTGCACAAAAAAATGCTAGAACAAGACGCGTTTTGTTTTGTTTTCTATTGTTTTAAACAAATTAAAAGTTTAATTTAATTTTAGTTACGGGATGCTTTGCATGAAGTTCTCGAATTCAGTCATTCACATTGACACGATTATTTCTACGCCAAATAATGATAATTCTACCGGCCCGTTAATTAAAGGGAACCATATTATATTTCTTAGCAAAAGTGTAGTTACGATAACGCTAACGATAAGTCATGACTAGTTTTGAAATTTTGTCAGTTACCAGAGCCGACGCTGCTACAACAAAAACAAAAAACATACAAATAGTAGTATAAGTACCTAACTAGTTTTTTAAAAATATATAAAATAAGTGTTGATTTTATTAATTTATTTATAAAACTCAACCAGTTTTATATAAATATTAAAAAATGCAAACAATTACTGCAAAATAAGTATGTATGGGAGTAATTTATACTCCCAAGAAACCTGTTTATGCTGTGATATTTCTTTGTTTATCTAACTAAAGATTCTTAAAACGAATTTTGTTTTTAATAATTTGATTTGTAAACTTGCTTACAAATTGCAGCTCTTTATAGATATCTATGTATATTCTTTGATGATGTTCATTATGTGTAACGGAACGACAAATATAAAAGACTTTTTGACTTCTCGTTCCTGGGCTTTGTATTTTCTGTAGATATTCAATATTTATTATATGTACTTGAAAAGAGTATTATTATTGATGTGTAGACATATCATCAACAGTTTTTGAAGTCCACAGCTAAACAAAGGCCTCCCCCAAAGAGACAAATATAAATAATAAATATATGTGTACACACCTCTTAAACACGTCAAGTAAATATCACAAATTTGAATGGGATCGACCTCTCAGCTATAATTTTATCTCATAACAAGGGCAGTTCCAGTGTAGTTGACTTACACTGTAGATGCTTACGTTGTCAGGATATTTATTTTACTGTGGTAAAAAAAATAGTTGTCATCCACAAGAATCGTTTATCAAAAAGTCAGTTATTGCTGTCCTCAAGCCCTAGTTTCAAAACAGACATTCAAGCAATTTTAGACTTATAGTTTAAATCACTTATCTATTACAAAGTTCCCACGTAGTGAAACCTAGGTTTTAGTCTGAAAAGATATTTAACTTTGTTGAACTGGTTGGCGGGTCTGTACTAAGTTTCCACCTATATCTTGTTGACTAATAAATGTTTTAGTAATGAGACTCTTATATGTGAACGTCAAGATACCTTTTCCTTGAATGGGAAAGGTGTTGCATAGCTCTGAGCTATTAAACATTGTTTTGTTGTTATAAACATTTGTTGAATTTTACAGTATAAGTTGTTATTTACTTAAAATATAATGTGTATTATGTAATAAGAATTATGTAATCAGGTATTCGACATTGACGGTAAAGAGCCACAAGTGTAGCGGTAGTGCATTATACTACAGAATTAGAAGTCGCGAATTCAGTTCGCGTAAATACTTATTTTCTTTGGTCTTTATTTGTGTATTTCAATAAAAATGATCTTAGTAACCATATTTCTTGTGTGTAATCCGTGTTATTGAACCAGTAGTATAAGCGATTTTTGTATTGGGTTTTGATAAAAAAGCTAGTAATCTGAATAAATCTTAAAACAATATATTTTATTATGACCAAATTATGTAGAATATTATCCTTGCTTTGATTACTAAAAAAGAATTATGCAATACAGATTATAATCTATCACTGTCAACACAACTTTCCTAACCTCTCAATGAGGGTAATTCCCTAAAAACAAGTAGAGATAGAAAAAAAGAGCCCAATCAAAGAAAAATATTTTACATATATTTTTATTACCCTATTTTTCAGGACCAGGAACATCTTAAACCACCTATAGTTGGAGGCCTAGCGAATGCCGAGCTGTATTGCTTGGCGCTCGCAAACATGTACTCAGACCCCAACTACCACAGCCTAAACCACTGGAATATTCTGCAGACGTTCGCCAGGAAGGGCGTGCACGTGCCCGACCCGCCTGACTGTGCGCTCACTGAAACGGTGCTCATACAAACTAATCCGCTCAAGATGGTAAGTTCATTCGCACTTGTAGTGGCATTTAAGTTTACTACTTTGGTTCTAATAGTCGTAGCACGATGTTAAATAAACGAATAAGCTATAACCTCCTTCTGAAGAATTTTGTTATTTAATATAAAAAACGAATGGTCTCAGGTAGTTCTAAAAGTTGACACGTTCGACCAAATGACACAATTTTTTTAGCCTTTTTACTACCCGTTAAAAAGAGGACTCAAGACGACTCGCTTGGATGTGGTCAATGTTTTCGTTCTTCTTTAATTTATAAATATAAATATTATTTTCTGTTTATTAAACTAATGGGGTATATAAGATTGTCCCTAATTCTTAACTTAAACTCAACACCAAAAGATAAAAAATACACAGCGATTATGATGATATAAAATCAGCTCATAAGATGTGGTTGTTGCTGATATTATGAAAAGGTTTATTTACAAAATATATTTCTTCCTGGTAATGGTTGCGTTATTAACCGACTTCAAAAAAGGAGGAGGTTCTCAATTCGACTGTATTTTTATTTTAATGTTTGTTACCTCATAACTTTCGACTGGGTGAACCGATTTTGATGATTCTTTTTTTATTGGAAAGCTGGTGCTTCCCGTGTGGTCCTATTTCAATTTGGTCTAGTTCTGACCATGGAATCCATGAGAAAACCATTGAAGTCGGTTTTTTTTTGTTAAAATTTTACTTGTTAAATTAATTATTCAGTAATAAAAGGCAGGTTTAAGCATCTTTATTACCCGAATACTCTTAATAAGCATTGAGAGAATCGCAGGCTGATGACGCTTTGTAATACGCTGAATATGCGATGCAAATAATTCGTAAAACAAGTAGCGTATTTTTTTTATGTTGTATTTTTTATTATTTTAGTAGTTATCCATATAGTAGTGGTTTACATATTGTATTGTTGTTAGTTAGTCAACTAAACTAAACCTCTATCTATTACACCTAGCAATACGTACTAAGCATACCTACTCGTAAGATTAGCAGAATTAGCAATTACAATACAATGTGTGGAATTTTCCATTTCAATTTACAAACGAAAGGAAAACTCATCTGATTGAAATTCTACTTGTGTTCTAGATAGTGACAAACAAGCAAGAAGACCTATCCCGGCCTACTTGCTTGCTTGTAACGTAGTGGCGTCTTGTCATTACTTATGCATTATTGCGGTATTTACACTGCTAGTACAAGAGACCTTCAATCTTGGCACATAAAGGTGGATCTGGAACAGTGAACACACGGAATTAAAATTTAAATAAACTAAATCCAATTGTTTAGATTTAAAAATTAATGCAATCCAGTGGAGATTCACTGCGGCTCGATTTACAGATTGGCGTTTACACATGGAAATAGATATATTGTAACAGATATGTGTACAGTTCCATATGTGTCTATTAATTACGATATTAATTGGGAAGAGTGCTTTTTTCGCATCAGTTCATCATAAAGTTCGTATTTTTAATGGTAACTAGGCAAACGGGCTGCCAGGTCACCTGATGGTAAATGACCACCGCCGCCCATGGACTCTCTTGCAACTCAAGAGTCGCAAGTACGTTATAACCGTTTAAATGTCTGCGTAAAATTAAAAAAATTGCTTACCACAGGTATTCTGTGAGGCCGCGGCATATGTTCCGAAGCATGGCTCTCCTAAGGTTGAATGTTATTAGAGATTCATAAAATGACATTGAGTGTCATAAGACAAACAGACATCTATTAAAATATATGCTTATTTTATTATGATCGGTAAAACAGTTAAAGCGTAACAAATTAAGAAAAATCGCATAATAATATTATATTTACGAAAGCTTGCGGGTAGTGTCGGAAAGACGCGACCTTTTTATTCTACGCGGGGAATGCTTTACGCACCGTACCCTCCTCCGTTGAGAAAACGGAGGGCGTGTGTGGGACTCCCGGAGAAGTGGTTTACCCACTAACTGCAGTCGGGAGGAGAGACGCTACCTTACTATACCTTATTTCTTTAGTTAACATTAATTTGAATCTAGAACACAAGTAGGTATTGTTGGGTCTCTCTATTTTTGGCTGTTGCACAATAAGGCTCTACTTTATCTTATCTATGCAAATATGTAACACCGAAAGGCTAAAAGATAAGTGATACGTTTTTAAATATCATGTTTTAACGAAATTATTTTATCTGTATTTAAAATTTGAACATAGGTTAAATACACAATTTACACTTTTCTTGCAGGAATGCATCAATAGTAGTAAATCATAACTTTACGTCATCCACAAAACTTTATTAATGAGTCATTATCAATTTTGTAGTAATTGTTTGTCATCCCTCAGATAAACTTAAGTAGCGATAATCAGAGTCGTTGATAAATTGTTATTGAATGGCGGTTAGCAAAAAAATTTTTCATCGGCCAAGAGTGGCTGTAAATATAAAAAAAAACAGGTCTTTACTAGTTATCAGATTAATGAGGTAGATGTATTGGGTACCCAGGTACCTATGTTTAAAAAATCAGTCGTGATACTCTGTCGACTAAAAAGTATTTTCTTTTAAGAAGATGATTCTTAGCTACCTGTAAAGCGATGTATACTAGAATATACCTTGTTCTTATTTATGCAAGGTGCGTTGTCTGTTGAATATTTTATTACTCGTATCGGTGCCTACGGTAAATATTACCTGGTATTTGCCATTGATAGCGCGGAATGCTAATCCAACAGATTGTGAATGACAAAGAGTTTCTGTTTAAGACTCAACGTATTGCCTACGTTACATTGCATTTCTTTTGTCTATACACTGTGTGTGTTTATTTAAAGCGATAAGATATGGAGCCTATTATATAAATCCTCCATCCCCATCCATTAATGGCTTTTATATTTCAGAAAAAGTATTTGTCGTGTTTTTTTTTTTTGAGTTAGGATTAGAAAGGGAATAATTATTGTAAAATTCAATGTGTTCATTCAATATATATGTTTGGAGTGAATGCGAATTGCCAGCGGCCAACTTGTCAATTCTCTTACTCCTTGGTTTTTATACTTGGTGATGAAATGTTCATTTACATTTACGGACTCAATTAAGGAGCCTTGGTACGATTGTTCGTTACGATGTGTGTTATGTCGAGCAGACAATTGAAATGTATTGCCATGTATGAAAGCGGCCTGTGACGCGTTTTGCGTGACGCAGAGCTCTAGTCGCTGTCGATGCGTGCAATGCAGACATTGAATGCATCACAGCGATGACCGCTGTCATACATGGCAATACATTTCAATTATCTGCTGGCCATAACACACCGTAACACACGCCGTGGGAGAGCCATACACAGGCCCGTCTCTAGCCTGTTGGAGGCCCTGGGCAAATTAGCATAACGGGGCATAACTTAGCTGAGCACTATTTTGTTAGAATGGACAAAAAGTATTGTAGTTAGTCAGATAGTTAGATTTTTCGAAATAATTATGTTTTTCGGTTTAAATATAAATTTTCGATTGGTGATCTGGCAGGAATCGGGCCCCTATCGATCGAGGGGCCCTGGGCACGTGCCTAGAGTGCCCAATGGGAAAGAGGGGCCTGGCCATACATCGGCGCTGGGTCTGGTCGACCAGAATTATAAAACGTTCTTGCAGGAAACATGTGTTAAGCATTTCTTGTTGCTTTTCACCGAGTGAGTGAGGTTACTGGAGCCCAAAACCCAATTCTGAGAGGAACTCACTTAAATGCTCAATGTAATGCGACTGTGTCTCTTGAGTTGCGAATTATTGGTACTTTTAAATCGTATTCATATTATGAAATGATAGGCTTTAGTCACAGTGATCTCACCTGAGATTGTGGTTATAGACAAAGATCCAAAGTCATTAAAATGACATTAAAATCAATCAAAATTCGACCTTTTTAGAGTTAGACCTTTCCCGAGTCTGGCGCTAGCGTAATAATAATAATAAGTCGCAGTGGATTTGTAAATTTGTCACAGGTGTGTTTATATGATTTCTAAGTGATATGATTCATCACAGGTGATTGCGATTCTATGACATCTCTAGTCCATAGGCGGCGCTAGTCACTTACCATCGGGTGACACATCTATTCATTTGCCCCCTGTACGATAAAAAAACACGCTACACCCTTTTATATATAATTTCATTAAAGCTGCATTCAACACACAATTAGTACTATTTCCTAAAATATAATTCAAATAATTCCAGAGCGCCCATATGTCTGTGATAGAAGCACTAATGGTGCTATACGCGCGGGAAGTGGTAACGATGGACCGAGTGGCGGCAGCAGCCCAGCGATTTGGTGATACGGCGCCACAAATACAGCACCACGAGGACGGGATCCTGGCTTGGATCAACGCCGCCTGCGCTGCGCTAAATAGAGCCGAGGTACGTTTCAAATGGATATTTAAAAACATTCTTTTCCACTAATTAGTCTAATTATCTTGTATTGAATATTTCTTTTGGGTTAATTACTTATTGAATTATTTATATCATTTTTGCTAATGTTTCCATGTATTATACTAAGTAATAATAAATTACTAAATCTAGTTTTGTTGTGTAAGTAATGTTTGTCATGTCATTGTACTTTACGTTACTTCGTTTTTGTTGTACTTAAAGTTTCCTTAAGAAATATTAATACTTGTAAAACTTCAGACAGGGCATTCAATCCTCACAAATTCGTTCTCATTCTACTCCCTTTCTACACAACCGTATGTTTACCTATCCTAATCACACCACACGTCCGTCTCAACATTTCCATTTCACCTGCTTGCTTCTTTTTTTGGACTACAGCTCTAATTCATCCTCTTATAAAACCTCTAGGTGTTATTTCATTATATTTCATTTTTCCCATTATATCAGAATGTATTTTCATTTTTTTTATGTACTTATACATCACTATATCAGATATTAGTCAGTTTTTACTAAGTATGACAGATAAGTCTTTAGACAAAAAATAACAAGCAGTTGTTGATTACAGGAGGACGCATCATCGCACGTTCCGATGCTGAAGAGCCTCCAAGAAGTTTGCGACGGCACTGCGCTGGCGGCGTTGATCTCGTTCTACTGCCCCGAAGCTTTACCTCGGACGGCCGTGCGCGTGGGCCGCATGGCCTCCATACAGGACTGTTTGCACAATCTCATGCTTGTCTACGACTTCTGTCGCACCGCACTACCGCACAACGTGTTTCACATGCTGCCCGAGGACGTCACTTATATGCGAGGGTGTGTATTCTTTGACTACAAATATAAACAGACCTGATAAAGTAATATTTAAAACACACAGGTAGCGACTAATGTCACAATGACATTTAGCCATAAAGCGTTATCGACCAAGATATATGATCCGATACACTGAAATGTATCTACCATGCTTAGGATGATAATATATCTATCATATCTAGAATGTAAATAAAGTTTTTTATTTATCGGTTTCAGGTCAATGCGGCAAAATTTAGTAGCAATGCTCGCCGATCTCTTCAATATGCTAGAAGTTCATCCTGTTAAATCTGTTAAATATCCAGGAAGCGGTGAGTTTTCAACACCTTACGTTCATCCCGTCCATCCTAATGTTATCCCTCGTATTGCATGCTAAATAGTTATGGGAGTATGTGGTCATAATATCAAAAGATTCTTTGCCTAATAATAATAAAATTTAAAAGTAATCCGCATCGGATACGGTCGTATAACGCTTAATTTTATTTAACGGCAATACTAAGTTCTAGACACATTATGGGGTTCACACGTTATCTCATCGACAGAAACGTCGACACCTATGTATCCAAAACTAAAATTACTATATTTACGATAATATATACCTTATTTATATAGTGAAATGTGTGCGAGGGAGGTAAGTTTGAACCGATTCGAGTCAAACGAGCGCTTCGCCGAATGAAAAATATGTTTCTAATGTTTGTCACCCTGTCTCGCTTTGCAAGGAGATCGTACCGCTCGGACTGGCATTGCATTATATGGGATGCGTTTCACATGCACAAATTTATTATTATATTGGGCCAATCATCGTAAGGTATATGTATAAACATATATGTGAAAACGGGGTACGCCCTCGCCGCTAACGGGAGGTGGCGCAGGCGGGTGGGAGGTAAGACTGGGTGACGCTGAGCTGAGGTGGTGTCCGCAGAGGAGCGCGCGTGCAATGCGTACGGCGTGCGGCACAAGCGCTGCCTGCCGCCGCCGCCGCCCGTGCCCATCCCCGAGCTGCGCGCCGAGCGGCCCGGCCTCGACGCGCACCTGCCGCCCTTCGCAGGTACCGCGCCTGGCCCGTAGGGAACATGCGCGCTTTTCACGGGGAAGGCTACATTCGCACACCTCTCTACCGTTAGATACGAAACGCTTTGAACTCACTAGAGATTTAATTAATTATCTGATGTAAATTAAAAATGATATCTTTGAGGTTGGAGCATAAAGTTGCTGTTTTAACTGGTTGTTTCTGAAAGGATCACTAGAAGTGAAGAACTTTCCTTAAAAAGTGACCGATGTGTTCCTAGATTACTAGGTGAGTCTTTACCGAACAAAACCATAACATCTTTTTTATGACGTTTTGTAATTTAAATTCCAAATATTTTTTACTTTGTGTGTAAATAAAAAAATTAAATTTAAAATAAATGGTAATGACGAAAAGAGAGGGAACAATTCTACGCCTTCCTGTTTATATCGAACACCGACATCCTTATTCCCTCCACTTTGCCTGTGCTTTGGTGTATTTTTTTTTGTATTTAATACAGCAATTTTATACTTTAACCTCTTAATATTTCAAAGTATCTAACGGACGGGAACACAGAGACTATACCATAAGAAAGAGACACTTTAAACCGTTTCTCATATATCTAAGTCCCTCGCACGTCATAAAGTTCTCTAGAACTGTTTTGTGTGCACCTGCCTTCCCCGACGAAAATGATAGTGTTTGGTTTCGTTTTATTCTGTTACGTTTGCGTGTGTGTGTGATCTTGCGTCTGTATTTATTTGTAATACATGTATTACATTGAAATGTCTGTTTATGTTTTAGGGTATACCTCTCAATATAAGTTTACATATTTATCTCATTCACATATTACGCTTTATATTAATATAATTAAGGTTTACATTGGTCTGATTGTCACACGCTTTCTACTAGCGCTTCGCATGGGGTTAAAAAGCTTTTATCGACACTTGATGCTTTTGAGGGCACTCGGAGTTGATGACATTATGTCCTCAGGCTCCCGGTTATGACGTCATGTAGCTAGCATAATAAAGTACACTATTTGTATTTATTATGTTATAATTACAGCGAAAATTTAAATCATAGCTTGCTCGGTAGCCTAGCTTAGCCTGTGTGCTTTTTATGTTGTAATTATATTCAATACTTGTTCTTGTAAATAGTTGTAGAGTTAAGTAAGTTACTTTTTTAATTGATAGTCTTTTCTCAATCAGATGTTATTTTCATTATCATTTTTAAGACCATCACAGGATAACCACGTTTTTTGGGCATATGCTTTAACAACTAAGATTACGATTTAATTCAATTTTTTCAATGTGTACATAATCAAACACAGTGTATGTGGTATGTTCATTAGTAATAGATTAATTTAATCTATAGCACCCTATTCTCAGAACGAGTCGTTTGATTACTTCACTGTAGTTTATAAAAAAAAATATAAATGTTTTTTTCAATGTTTTGTTTGCCCATATTCAATAGAGATGATCTCCAACAGTTGTAGAACGAGTAGCTAAAGTAGTGTGTGTACAGTTCCGCGGTCGCCGTCGGCGCTGAGCGGTCGGGGCCGCGGCACGGGCCGCTCCGCCAGCTCCACGCCCGAGCGGCGCAGCGCCAGCCCCGCACGAGACGACTTCGTCGTGCACAGGCAGAAGCAGATCACGACGCTCGCCGCCATGGTCAGGAGGGATGATGATTATGGTGACTATGTTTGTTCCTTTTTTGATCACATCTTTCTTCTCACTTTAATGTGATCTGTGATAGTAATTACGTTAAACGGGACGGAAGTGTGTAATGATAAACGACGATCATAAACGGGAGAAGGACTTGAGGAAAGTCACTAGTGAATATAACGCTCGCTCGGTGACCCACGGCAGATATACTGTTCCAAGAGTGCACAATTATTATGGTGACAGAACTTAAAAAAAAACGATTGCCTTATCATCTTAATAGTCTGCCGTTGGACATCAGGGAAGAAACAGACAGTTATATTTAAGAGGAAAATTAAAAAGTATTTTTTTGATTTATTATAATAAGCTACTGTTGTGTGTACTACCTATAATAGTTTTTAAATGACTTAAATAAGACATCTACGAAGACTCGATCCTCCAGTCAAACCATCAACCCAATTTTAGGGGACAAAAATTTAATGTCGTGTTTAAAAAATAAAGTTAAATAAATTAAAAAAAAAAAACAACCCTTTCGGACTCATTGGTCAGATTGAATATGACTTGCCCAATTAGCGCGGTGTTAGATGTCAGATGTCATGTATTGCCACATTAAGATAGTTTAAAAACAAAAATTAAAATTGTTTCGTACAAACGTAACGAGTTTAGTGTTTATATTTGGCTTAATTTGTGTTACGTATATGACAATTTAGTTCAAAGTGTTAACAAAAAAAAATAGGATTACCATCAATGGTTAATTCCTTTTTTTAATACAAAAAACTCGGAAGGTTTGAGTGTAGTGAGCGGTGTGTGTGGCAGGTGCGGAGGGCCCGCTGACGCCGGCGGGGCGACCGTCCAACTGGGCGGAGTCGCGCGACGCCACGTACGCGGGCCGGCGCTCGCGCCGCTCGTCCGTGTCGGACGACTCGCAGCTCACCGTGGAGAACTTCGGCGGCTCGCAGGACCGCCTGCACTTCGCCGGCCGCAACCCGGAGAAGGAGCTCGCCACGCTCGCCAACGTGCGGAAGGTCTCCGCGCCCGCCGGTCCGTACCACACTAACGTATTATCATATCATATTATCGACTGCGCGGATGGCGTAGTGGTTTAAGCGGTCACCTCGCCGCTTCCTACTGCGCTGAGTGCTGTGGGTCCGATCCCCTCATGGGACAAAATTTTGTCTGATCCACAAATTGTTGTTCTGAGTCTGGGTGTTCTTTGTGTCTGTTTCATGTATGTTTGTAAAGTCCCCCGCGACACAGGATAGATTCCTAATGCGGAATTATAAGGATTATATTATGATACTAGAATTGTATTGAGAATTTAGACTCTAATGTTTTATTTGGATTACAGATATTTAGATCAGTTGAACTTCTAAACAAATTTAAAACAAGCAAATCATAATTTACTCAATAAAAATGTTGCCCCCAGGTCCACTCGATTATAATCCGCCTTTACGCTCCTCGAGACAAGACATCCGCGGTTCAATACAGTTTTTACACGGGGACTATCAAAATGGTGCCGAAAACGAGCGACAGAAGGTAGAGAGGCAGCATTCACAACCCGACAACGAACCTTTCTACCCCATCAGACGACAATTGAGTAGCGACACCATCACTTTGAGCGAAAGGTCACAGAACTTCGGCTTCAGTGCGAAAGGCGGTGGGGACGGGTTCTACCTCAACGACAGAGATTCGACAGACGGTGACGCTATCAAAACTTCCTTCGCCGACCTTAACAAAATCAGGAGTAACGGTGACCAGACAGGTTTGTTTTTGTGCTCTGCACTCTTTGGGAGAACAACTTGATTAATTTACTATATACAAATAAATTTAATACACATTAAATGACAGCCATGCGTTAAGGATCTCGCCACTGAGCCTCAGATTATAAACTACAATTATTAGAGACGAAATTTTGGAAATTCGCAATAGATAAAAACGCATTATTGTGTGGTGGGTTGATCTATTCTGATACAAGTTGTTACCTCATTTCTTAGCTTGTGATTAGCTTTTTTGTATTTGGCGGCACATAAATATTTTGGCCTTTACGCTTTGAATGTTCGCATAATAACGCTTTAATCTAACAGCACAATATAATTGGCGAAACATGTTTCTGGCTGATGACAAATGCATTTTCCGACACTAACTTTGTGTGCGTTTCGTCCATTATAGTCGTGTGTATATAGGACCACATATTCCCAAGTTCCAAATTCAAAATTGTCTGAAGTTCCTTGTAGCAGCGTTTCTATGAATCGTTGGTCTGTAACGTCACCGATGACGTCATGTAACGTGGCTGCGATTGATTTGTAGGTATACAGTCAGCGTTGAGCCAGGAGGAGCCGATTGAGAGGCGGAAGAGTACAACATTCGTAACACCTCAACCTAACACCACCACGTGGCAACAACAGTTTATGCAACAAGAAAATCATCCAAGTATGTATTATAACTACCTATTCATTTACTGAACTTTAGTTGTGACCTATGGACCCTAAGTATCAAACATACAGTTACTAAACTTCACAAAATATACATCCTAGTTGCCTAAAGTTTGTTTTACTTGCCAAGCAGGATCCCTTTGAAGAAAAAAATACTGACCGAACTCACAGTGTCATAGTCCAGTATATGTTCAATATAAAGTCATTAAAAGCAAGAATATTAACGGTACGTTGGCGCTGACCAGCAATATCCAAACCGTATATAAACTTATATACAGATAATTATGGTTAAGACCATTTCCTGTATTAAAGAAAAATAAAACTAATATTGGGTGTCTATTATTTCTCTAGTTGTAATTATCTTTATGATATCATGATGAAAATTTTAACTAGAGATATAACTAATAAATAGCTATGATTCTAAATATATTAGAATAAGAAATATAAGTTAGCTCAGTATAAACGCCTATAAATTAGTTGCACTGTTTCTTATAAATATTCTCGCATGCTCCAGACGGTGAAGATCTAACAGACGAATCAACGACATCTGCGAGCGGAGGTCAAATGGCGGCTCAACTGAACAACATACGACTCAAGTTAGAAGAGAAACGGCGACGCATCGAAAAGGAGAAGATACGAATGGAGATGGCTGTCAACAGGCAACGGCAACAGTTAGGGCAACAGGCTTTTTTACAGGCTGTTACTAGGGTGAGTTCTACGTTCTAAGTGAGAATATATACTGAGGGCTGATAAGGAATTCTCATTAATTTAGAAAAAAAAAAACAAAACACATTTTTTCTATGTAGATCAGTCTTGATAAAATATGTTTCCATGAATATTCAAGTTCAGAGTTTTATAAATGATGTTTTCTAGATCTGTCAAGTGTTCATTTTTAAAATATCTGAAATTATATATAAAAATAAAAGGAATCCGTTACAAAACAATGATGACATACTCGACTGTCTTGAAAGAAAATACATATCTTGCATGTTTTTAGAAATTAAACTTGTGACCGTTTCTAGAATTGTAAATGGTAAAAAATATGCTTTGACAAGTTGCCAATATTTAAAAAAATACAGTTTTTTCACAAATATTGAAAAAGGGTTTACAAAATTAACGAGAATTCAAATTTGTTCATTGTACTGTGTTCATTGTACTTGCGGTGGAAGACATTTAAAAGTGATACAAGGTACAAGGTGTAAGGAATTATTATTAATCTATTGAGTCACATAACACGTTACTGCTAAACAGTGACAAAATTCAAAAAATCAAATAAAGAACTGGACGTGTCGTGTCATTTATGTTTGTGTTTGACAGTCTGCCTATTGCGATAGTAGTATTTAAGAGTGTGAGTGAATAGTTTGTTTTAGTTTGTGAAATGTTTGACAAGTATTTTAGTGTTAAATTTTCTATCTAGTAGAACTATATAAACCTTAAATTATATCTAATAAACCACACTAAATTAGTATTAAAAAAGAAATTTTAATAGTTTTTTACTGTAACATAATTAAAGAAAATTAAATAAATTTTCTCTGGTACCAAAATGTCGTAACGTACACTTACAGAGCGTATCTTATTCATTTTTTAATAATAAAATGCGTTCTTACCTGCACAGAGTTACTAACATTCTGTTCCTCTTTGTTTTCTAATACTACCGACAAATATAAAAATAATTTTTCTTTCTATTTCATTAGGATGCATATTTGCAATACCAGTTGGCCTCTTTGGTGAGTGGCCGGTTTCGGAGAGCCCTTTTTCGTTTAGTTTAGACTCTTTTGATAGTTATTTTTTCTATTACCATTTTGTTATTACATTCCTTTATCGTTTTGTGACATATTTTATTTACATATACACGCTTACACGGCTTATTCAATACATAACATTAAACCATAAATTTTTAGTATCTGAAAGTAACCATAAATAAATATGTTTTTGTTATTTTTTTAACATATGCATTATAAATACTTAATTAAGATAATAATTGCTTCAAAATAAACGGTAGTTACCAGTTGCGCCTAGTCAACTTTCTAATAGATGCAGCTTTTTTTCTAAAGTCGTTAATGTATCAAGTTCATGAATATTTTGCAATGCAATCATTATTTCCAACATTTGGCGCTTAAATTTCTAATAAATTTAAAATTTATAAACTTAATTCATACCTACCATAAGTTGAGACTTGTCCATGTCACTATTGACTCACGATTGTTCTAAATAAGCACATGTTTATTTGTAGGAACAAAATCAATACTTAAATTTACACTATCTGTGGGCATGTGTACCCGTTGGTTGGTGTATATTGCACTCCCTCTTGCTTTTATTCCCTTAAACTCCTGAAGACCTGTAAGTACTCCAGAGTATTATTTACTTCTCGCCATGAATGGACAACATGGTCTTACAATTAGAGCATGTATTCAGTCTTTTAAATTAAAAAAATTGAAATTTAGTTGTGTGAATAATTAATGTACGGAGTACATTATAAAGTACCTAAAGGTTATACATTTCAAAAATATAATTCATATTCTTTAGAGGTGGATTCTCCTTTAGAGGGGAAATGACTTCAAAAATATTTAAGAAAATATAAAGATGACATGTTATCTCAATCAAATGTTATTATCGAATGATTCTAAATAAACAGTTCATTCGAATTCTTGTGTACGAAGCAAATGAGTAGGTGAGTGAGTGTACATGTATGATTATTGATTACTATATATTTATATATTAGTAATCGTTCGCCTCAGTAAAAAAAAAAAAGTAGTAAACAGGTTCTTCCTAATTGTTGAATCCGTTACCATTAAACAGTCCTTTTGTTCAAATATTTATTTATCAAAATATACACCAACCAACACGTAGCATGCACTAGCATGTATCGTGTAACATGCGTTGCAACGTTTGTGTTACGGTGGAGGTTGCACGTGCGTGTTGCAGGGCAAGGGTGCGCGGACGCCGGCCGATGACGAACCGAAGCAGGAGCCGACGCCGCAACAGGTAATGTATCTTGAATGAGGTTACAGCAACAATACATGGAGCTCTTTAGTAACGATATTCGAATATATTTCAAATAATCTACACTATAATAATGACACGTGTGATATTTTTACCATATACCACAGCACATACATATTTGGCGCGGTGATGGTGTAGAATAGACAGAACGATTATCACTGTGGGCTTTTACTTTTATAGTTTTGTATTTATTTTATATTGATGTAATATGGTGTTCTGTGTGTCATTGCTTGTGTTTGTCATTTGTGAGCCAAGACGTTCTTTGTGTAAAGATAAACTTGTGAATTACATTCATCTAAAAATCCATAGGATCATTTTCCCATTGTATTGTTGCCATAATCATATTCGTAATGGTATTAACTTAAAGCATAGTTTATAAAATAGACCTAATTTGGGTTGAGGAGTATTCAAAATTTAACTAACGAATGACGTTGTTAATTGGCATGATTCTGTCGTGATAATTTCTGCATGCAAAATCACTACGCAATATTTTACTGAAGAATGGATATTAAGAATGGATATATTATTATAATAGCAGTTTTCAAAATTTTCATACGAGTTTCAGTAAAATAGAGGTAGGTTTAAGGTTCTAAATGTTTAAAGAGACGGTTACAGGGGCGGCTTCGGCGATAACAATAATAATAAATTGAGTTAATTGTTTATATTTGAACTAAAGTTCATTAGTTTTTTTAATGTCGGATAAATGATGTTCGCATCGGAAATTTTGATCAAAATATAATATTTTAAGTCCAATTTTCTATACAATACAGAAGCCGTAGATAGTAAGCATCTAAGCCCTGATTATATTTCTTAAGTGTAACGTCATTTCTAGGATATGGTGGTGGAACCTCCTAGTCAAAGAGACGCGGTGGACAACGCTGTTTTAGAACAATATCAACAATCAATAGCCAAGTAAGCCAATGTCCATATAGATACTTCCTTTTTTCATTTTGATTTAAACTTTCTGTCAAAATTTAAATTTTGTAAAAAAATCTGTCCTTACAATCTTCTGAATTTTTAACATATCATGAAATTCATCATCATTAATATATCATTTAATTAAAATATTTACAGAATGAACTCTAGTTTACAAGATATACAGAGCGATATAGCACGACTAGCGAGCCAACAGACACAAATTCAACAACAACAGCAGCAACAACAACAGCAAGCTAAACAACTATTCCAACAAACAGCGCCTCTACAACAACCACAACAGCAACCACCTCAACCGCCACAGTCGCCCTATCAACAACAACAACAACACTACCAACCGAACATTCCACAATTGGTGAGTTCTTAATGATTATTTAATGTTTGATAAGCATTGACGCTTGTGAGTTCGACACCGGGTAATTTATATTGTTGGGTCAATATCTTTTTATAACTTTACTCTTTTCATACACGGCTCTGATCCCAAATTAGGCAAAACCACTGTGATAATCAGACTGCTGGTGAACATAATATCTAAACACATATTACAGATAAATTACACCCAGACACTGAACATATGATTGTGCTCATCGCACAATTTATTGTCCAGAATGCCAATTCTCGTAATAGAAGTTCGGTCTCAATTCAGTTCCGATCAACTTTCTGTTTCCGTCATAAAAGGTATTTTCGTAGTAAAGTATTACTAAGACTAACAGATTACCGATTCAATTTTCGGTTACAATACGATATAATCACGACATAACAAGAAATAGAGATAATCACAAGAATACGGAATGTCATTACCCCTATTCATCCCGTGGATGTCGTAAGAGCCGACTAAGGGAGAAAACTACGCAGGACAACAGCACTGCAAAGAGAAGGAAAACTGTAAACAAATCCCATATCAACCCGTCTGGCCAGCGTGGTATAGTAGGCCAAAACCTCCTTTCTAAGGAGATGCCTATGTCCAGCAGTTGACTGTTATAGGCTGTTGATGATGATGATGACATTACAGTCAACTTTGGGTGTTTAATACTTTACTACGAAAATTCTTTTTAAGACAGTTGTGAGATTGATCGGAACTGAATTGAGACCAACTTTAATTACGACAATTGGCCTTCTGGGTCAGAATCAAACCCACTACTTCTGGCTTAGCAGTCAGATCACTAACCACTACACCAACAGGCCATCCGTTGTTGGCTTGTTATGATTTTTTTTTTATTTAAAATTGTCCAGTCAGACATGTTGGTTTAAAAATCGTGTGCGGCAATACTTCTTTAGCAAATACCACGGGTACTATTAGTTCAATCTGTTTAGTGGGGTAATTTACTCCGCATATGATATTTGTACACGACTAATATAAGGTGTATATTATATAAATATATATGAATTGACAATTCTTTAAGTGAGAGTAGAAATGTTATTTCATTTTGACTAGTAACGAACTCGTAGTTTATCATAACTACTATTTCAATGACTACGTACGTACGTAAGTACGTGGACGTACGGAAAGTGGAAGGCTACGTACAACCATATATGTATACATCTACTTTGGTAAATTTTTGGGTTACAAGGTTAAGTTGCAATTTCATTTCCGATTGCATAACGAAATGGTTTTGTAAACTCCCAAGTATTGTTTTAATTACACGACTTGAAATCACAAACAGATAACTTTATCAAATTACAAAATTATATTCGAAATCTGATTACATGTTACCGGGTGTCGAACTTTATAACCAAACGTGATTAGCTTGGTTTGTGCAGTCTGTAGTTAATAAACTAATAAAATAATTGTTTGAAGTGTGAAATTAATAATTATCGTGTATAATTGCACACAGCTAACAGTGTCAAAGAATAAATCTGTGTTTGATTGTAATTAATTAAATGGTCTGAGCTTTAATTCACGATAATCCGTTATCATTCACTCATTTGCATTAATATCAATGAAAACAGATGCGAACGTTTCACAACACTTTATTTATATATTTGCCAACCTATGTTGGCAATAAAAGTATACACCGCCACGTAACTATTATGTCAGACTAGTCTCGTCTAATGAGTTCTAGCTTACCTTTAGATTGACTTTGAACTTCCTAGGCGGATCGGCCCTTAAACGACTCAAAACATATCTTTTCCTTATTTGCCAAATCATATATTATATTTTTGTTTTTTAATATTTCTTAAAACAAAATATGTATTTTTCTCAGGGTATACCCTGAGAAAAATACATATTTTGTTTTAAGAAATATTAAAAAACAAAAATATAATATATGATTTACAAATGGCAAAATCGCAATGGAAATAAATGATTAAAATCGATCTGCTTTTAATCCTGTATTTACATAGATAGTTTAGTATTATAGACGAATGGATAAGTTATTGTTATGTGAATTGTGAACCGTTCGCATCTAACACAACGCTGACCCGCGCATAACATTACAGCACAGCCAATTCAGCTCTCAGCACAATGTTTCCCGCCCGGGGCTGACCAGCTTCGGTTCCACCCCGCACATACCGCAGCAACAGCAACCGTTTTACAACTACGAACAGCAACAGGCGCCATACCAACAGCAACAGCCCCAGTACCAACCGGCACAGTATCAGTATAGAGACATAGAGGAGTACGGGCGGGGGCAGTTCTACCTGCACGATGCCGCGCCGGCCCCCCGTCGCACCTGGGCACAGCACGCGCAGCACCAACTGCAGCAGGAACACGAGCTCAGGGGCTGGCAGGTCGGTGCTGCCACACTCGATTATTTACAGCTAAATGTCTTATTAAATAATATTGCGTATGCTTCGTAAGTATAGCTAGTTGAAACGTGTCCCTGGACGTCTCTCCAATAAGTCTTATCCTTAAAATGAAATGTCCAAACTTTAATTTTATTCATTTTTGTTTTAATAGTGGATTCATTACTTATCTTCCGGTAATTTAAAATTGAAATAAAATTCCTGGCAAGGCAAAAGGCTTAAAGATTTCGGTGCACCCCTGGTGTGGGTAACAGAATCTATGTATAAAGATATTCTCACAATCACTGCAATTAAGCTAATCTTATTTCACTGCGCTTTTCCAGCTGCACCAACAAAATCACCAACAGTACGCCCAACCAACGCCAGAACCTCAGCCTCAACGTACGTGGAGATCACCCTCGCCCCAACCACCCCCCGAACGAAATTGGCAACCGCAAGGTTTCGTACTCCACGACAGAAATACGCCCAACACGCAACCTTTCCAAATACATTATAATAACGACCGGTACCAGAACGGTACCGAGACGCGAGATACTCCAAACCATTTAAGTTACACTGTGATAAACTCCAACCAATATGTTTCGGCCTCGCCGCCGTTAGCCGCTAGTCCGCAGAGGCGGGCGAATACTCCACAAAGACAAGGTTCCCTCCCCGAAGTTACCCGAAGGCCTGAGCCCGTTAGTTTGCAGCAACTACACGCACCCCAAAACGTCCCTACACACACGCCCTCACACACACCCACACACGCACCTCCCCCGGATGATATGGAACCGCAAAATATTTCCTTCATCGGTAACGCCGAAGACGACGCTTTAAGACAAGGGATCAATAGACTGAACATTTCCTCTGGCACTAGAACTTATCGCATTCCCTCACCTACGAGACCGTCTTTGAGTAGAAACTCCTTCCAGCAATTGGAGCAAGAAGAATCTAGTGAACCGAACGAGAAAGGTTTCTACATATCGTTCGATAACGATCAGCCTAAGCGACCGAAGCCTCCTCTGCGGGCCAAGAGGATGTCTCCAAAGAAAGAGCGGTCGGCGGAATACCAGAGTCCCGAGCGGAGTCCGGAGAACACTTGGAACGACAGATTGCCGCAGCCCGTCGAAGAGGAGTTCGTGGTTCATAGGAACACGGGGCCAGACCAAACGATTAGATCTAATGACGTTTCTGAGCGCAGAGAAACGCCACCTAGAGAGAGGCCCCAACGTCTAACCAACGCCGAGCCGAAGGCGTTAGTGATTGGCGAATTGAATCCTGACCCGGTGAGTTTATTTTACTTTTAATTTTAATTAACTGTAAAATTATCTTATGTGCTTAGTGTCTATGCATAATATTTTGTCGACATCGCCTATGATCATTCTTAACGCGTTCAATTATAATATTTGGATTTCATGGTTTTCTTTTTATGCATAATGGTTAAATAAAAACAGAGTGAGGGGTTTACGGATCCTCGGTCGGAACGAAGTTCCTTTCGTTTTTGATGGTCGTTTTAGAAAAAAAGTCTCAATACACATTTTTCGGTCTCGCTCCGATCCGCTCAGAGCGTGTAACGCGCGATTAGGAACTTCGTTCCAATTATGTCTACTTTAGTATTATAATAAGCATCGAGCTTATTTTAACGACACTTCTCGAACAACATCCATAATCTTCAGAAGACACTACATCATATTTTTTAATTTAACACGTTTTCGCACGGTACTAATTAAAACACGTGCGTATGCTGTGTTGCAGAACTCAGCGGAGGAGATGGAGCGCAAGAAGGAGCGCATAATGATGCTGTCGCTGCAGCGGCGCCAGCGGGCCGACGAGGCGCGCGCCCGCGCCGACGCCGCCGCCGCCGCGCGCCGCCTGCGCGACGAGCGCGCCAACGAGCTCAAGCTGGCGCGCAAGGAGGAGCAGGCGCGCCGCCGGGAGCTCATCCTGCACCAGTACAAGCTCAAGAAGGCCATCGAGGAGGCCGAGCGAGAGGTGCGACGCGTTCACGCCGTCTCCTCGTCTAACGCGTACCGTGTCTAAAGATGCAGATGACGGTCGGTTGCAGGGCAAAGTGCTGGACAAGTCGGAGTTCCCGGATATCCTGCGCGGGGCGGGCACGGCCACGCCGGCGCCCACGCCCACGACGGGCACGGCGCGCCTGCGCGGCAAGGCGGGCGGCGGGCGCGCGCGGCCCAAGACCATCCACGTGGACAGCTCCGCGCTGCACGCCGCCGAGGGCATGCTGGCCAAGCAGCCCTCCTCCACCAACCTCACAGGTCGGCGCCCCGCCTCGCTTAGCTAGACGATACTGAATTACATGTGAATTACGTGCAAAAGTATACTAGTATTCAATACTCTTTTCGGTTTATGAATGCGAGAGACTTTTTTATAATACAAATGTCTAATAATCCATATTCACAGTAAATAGGACAAGGTAGATCGTAAACCAGTTTTCTCATTTATAAATTGTAATAATCATTACTTACGAACTAAAAGACTGTGAAAATTACGTTATTATTAACTAAATTTAATAATAAACTTCCAAAGGGATACTATTAGACATCAATTACGCCATTCATACAACAATTTTAATTAGTTTATAAACTTAAAAAAAATGTGCTGAAATGTACTCGAAGCGTTAGAGTAAATTTGAAATAGTAAATCCTTTTCTACGAAATATCACATGTAAGTCAACGGTATAGTGTTGGCACGCTGTTTTATAAATGTTCGCGCTGCATTGCAAGAGTAACGCACACAGGCAGTACGAACACTTCACTTTTATTATTTTTTACTGATTAATACTTTATTCGATATACATTTTCAATTTGAAATACAATGCAGTTGTACATGTGACATTCAATATCCTCGTTTGTCGGATCTAACATATTGTTATTGTTTTAAATACACCAGTTCAAAAACCTAATTTCCTTTTTGTAACCACGAACACTCAGATTCCAACACTTATATTACAGTTTGTTTGCTAATTTTTAAGTTTGTGAGACAGCACTACGTGTCGCTTGTACCTGTTTAATGAGTTAATTTGCCGACTGGCATGCCGCCATTTTTTATACCTATAGCAGATATGTTATGCTGAAAACACCATGTACGTAAAGTGAAAGAAATAACCACCTATCGTTGAAGTAGCTGACTTATATTTTTTGCTGTTGAGTAGAGGGTTGTCACTTAAAGAAACAATTTACCGTGTAAAGGGTTATAGTTTTCTTTTTAGAGTTTACTCCTTCAGAATGGATTTTCAAATAAGGCGGCCGGTATGAAAAAAATATGAGGAGTAAAATTTAGTGATCGAATGATCTCGTAACGTTTATTTGTGCGCAACTCATCGTGCGCATCTTTCACATGTGTGTGTATAAATTGTATACTTGTGCAGATGAATCGTTCTTAACGAGTCAACTCCAGGCGTCGGACCTGACACACACAATTTTTTTAAATATTCTACGGTTTTCGAGTTTGAAACTATATTAATAATAAGGGATCATTTATTAAATACGAATGAAAATACATATATCAAATACCCGGTGGTATCGTTAAAATTCTATTTTTATTAAGTTTTAAACATTATTTTCTGATTTAAACTTAGCTCTTTTATTAATAACTTAGTGTTTTTTTTTAAATATGCTCAAAAATCGTCTCAAAAAGAAAGCCGAGGTGAAAAGTACGTTAGTATATGAAACTAGTACACGGTGAAGCTTCAGTATAACAGATCTGTGCCCGTTCGGTCCGCTTGACGTTGTGTTGTGTGTAGCGGGCGGCACGATGCGGCGCGACTACTACCGGGGCTCGCAGGACAGCCTCGCCGAGCGGGCTGGCCTCTACAGGGGTACGTATGCACACGCGCCTACAGTACACGCTCTACGTGCTACAGCCTTTGTATGTGCTTTACTTGTAAACCTTTCATTACTTTATTTGATTCGCTTAAAAGCTGTAAAGGATTTTGTTTTTAAACTTTCGCGTTCCATGATAATTAATATTATTTAACGGGAATTAACGCGATCTCTTATTTAGTGCAACCTGGTCGAAACGTCAGGCAAACCAGAGGTATGTAATAGTCTAAATAAGAGATCGCGTTAATTCCCGTTAAATAATATTAATTATTAAGGATTTTGTGTTTTAAACTTTAGGATATACTTTCAAGGGTTTTTTAAATATTTGAATGCCATAAATGCACATACAAAGTCTCATCTCGTAGAAAACCTCAACTACTCTACTTTTTATTGCACGTCATATTGTTGCAACAAAACTGTGTTAATATATTACTGGATTGTTTCTTTTACACTAAATAGTTAGTAATCGATCGGCAATGATCTTATTTTGGCGCTTAACGCTTTGAAAACATTATTTTTTTATAAGCATGATTATAGTTTAAGCTTGTAGTATCTTTTAGAGTAAATAAACTGTTATATTAATATAAAGAATCTGTTGTAAAAAGTGAGTACATGTGATTCCAGAGTCTCCGGTAGAAGATCGCGGCGGGATGTCTCCGGGCAGCGCGTCGAGCGGGCCCCTCGGCCGCCGCGGCTCCTGCAAAACGTCCAGAGGTATGTCCGTCCCGCTTGCACTCGCCGCGCTCGCACCTACCTACTGTTGCCTTCTCGCTCGACTACTAACAATTTGCCGTTCGCTTTGCATTCCAGCCAATGTTGTTTAGAAATAGCTAAGCGAAACGATTCATTTAAATTTCACGCTATTTTTATAAACGACATTGCTAAATTAATTTGTGATTTATTTTTGGTAGTGACCATTACTCGTATGACATATTAAAAAAAAACAAAATAAATCACCAATGTTCTTCGTGTGTCATTGTATCGAAGAAATGAAACAGTAAAATAAATTAATGGCAGCGAATACCTTTAAGACTTGTAATATAATTAATAATTTAAGTCGGTAGAACAGAGCTCGCTACAAAATAATAGATAACTAATTATACCTTAATATATTCGAAATACTAACGAGAACTAGATTCACTGTTAACATGTTCCATTTGTGAAATTGACACAAAACAGTTTTTATTTCCTCGATACAGAACTGTTTGCAGCTATTACCTTATGCTGTATGACAAACAGCTACCCCAATTGAAACATACAGACCAACAGACAACTCTGTCGAGTTACACGACTCGATATATTCCTAGTGTGGACGACGACGCTTCTTTCCATTTTGGTTTTAGTAGACGCTTCGATTTTAATATTTATATTTAATGTAATCATTTTATTTTATATGTGTATGATTTCAGCATCGCATAGATATTAGTCCACTCCGATCTACAAAATGTATGCTTGATACCTTATTTTGGCCATATTTTATGTAGTTTGTATTTCAATTTGAGTGGTACTATTTTTATAGTAGCTTATAATTTTTTCCAAATTTCTCGATACGCCCTAGACCTTCCGCGCATTTCATAAATTGGTTCCCGATTGTAAATAAATGATTGTAAAAAAAAAACATATGGTACAGTGTTATTTGTCGCGGTATAGTATTACTTTTGTTTGCCATGTAAAGAGTCGACGGAGGCTCGCTTGCTCGCATGCCGCTTGCAGGTCGTGCGCAGCGGTGACGTTGCATGAGAGTGTCGTTGTGACATGTATAGGAAACATTTCAGAGCGCGTGAATGAGGAACCTCAGTCGTCACGTGGAAGGTCTAAATATTCCACTTACGGGAGTAACTTTAAGGCGGGACGGAAGTCAAGCTCTCTTATGAATTTGTGCGGTAAGAGCAGTTTGATCAACACGAGATACGGCTTGACTCACGTTGTTGGTATACGGGCTACCGTCGCTTGGTGCGTTGGGTTACTTTCTGTTGCTGCGGGCGGCGCGGCCTCCACCCTCTGTCTACTATCGTACCCACTACGTACCCGTGCGTACCGTTTGAGACGTACGACCACTTTACTGAATGCAATGCACTTAAAAAAATTGACAACAAGTGCTTCCGATCAGACTTCAGATAAAAATGGAATTTGCGCTAATTACCTAAGTCATGCTTAAATTTCGATTTGACATAGATGTCCATATTTATAATGATTAAAGATATCAATATTTATATTTTAATTGCGCTATTTATTTGGTTTCAATCCATCTCAAGACTGAATTTTAAAAATAATGAAGGAATTACGAAATTACCTGTTCATTCTGATTTGGTCGTCGAATTTCTGTGAATTCGACATTGTTACAAACCGCTTTGTATTTGTACTGATGTAAAAACAGAGTTACAAGTTAAAAAACACAGTAAATATGCTATGACATGCATAGCCGAAGACAATAGACTTTAATTAATTTACCATTCCATTGACAACCCTTAAAGACACATGTATTATACACAATACAATAGAACACAATAAAACAATATGCGTGAAGACAGAGTGGACACATACATACCACGTCACACGGATCACCGCGTCGCCCGCCTTCTTTCGTCTTGTGCACTTTTATTTATTTATTATTGGGTCATCGGCGTATATAAGTACATGCATATTATATCTGGTTATGGTCTCATTACTTATTGTATTTGTATCGGTAAGGGTATCAAGAGCATGTTTATACCGATATATTTTATATCTTGGTGTTGGTGTGACATCGTTGTTTTTTTGTTCTTTTAAACACTTTACAACCTTTTTGCTAAATGAAGCCAATAAATTATAATGTTCGGGAGCAGATTAAACTTATCAAAACTACTTTTAGACTGTCTGAATCTCAATTACAAGAAAATACTCGGTTCCTATTTCTGATTAAGATTTATATATTTTAATAGTAATATAAAGTAACAAATTAAATAAAAGAAATGAAAAAACAATTTAAATAATCTTAAATATTTGTGTTTTAATATGCGTTCGGGTATTTGTCTTAAAAAAATGTTAGTTGGCTTATTGCCTGGTTCATGTTGGTGTAAGGCCACAATCTTCATTTACGGGCTGGTGTTGCAAAAGCTTTTACAGAGCTTATTCAATAATAAGATAAGAGGTTACTGTTCGTCATTAAAAGCAGTCACTAAATTGCTACCTTACTATTTTCAACAGCAAGAATAGAGCTATAAAATTTCTCTAACAAAAATAAAACAGTAAAAAAGGTTTTTTTTTGTGGAATGTGGGTAGTCATATGTGGGAGTTAGTGCAATCACATAATAATATAAAGTATTGCATACCTTTGAATTGTCGCACGATTTGACCAGTGTTATATCATGTAAGTGTTATATCATGACAATGTTTCATGTACATTAACGCGACAGGTTAAAACTTAAAGTCCATTCGCGTTAAGAAAATAGTGACGCATAGATCAAGCCCCGCCCCCTGACTAATCAGGTTCGAAGAAATTATCGTTTCCTATGAAAGCTGGGCCCCTGATTGAGAATGGACTATAGTATATAGATTTTATTCATGCTGTTGAGAATTCATGTCATCATTCTGTCTATACTAACAATAATCTATTAACATAAGTTTCAGAACTGTAAAAGTTTAAACTTATGAACGCGTTTATGAACTTTAATCATATAACCAAAAGAATTATAAAAAAGTGTCGGTTGTAAAGGTGTTTCGTATATAAACCTAATTAAAAAATTAATATTTAGTTTTAGTTAGTTGTTACATATTTATAATATTTTTATGCGTAAAATACAAAATGTCGACGCTTATTTTTTATTGAGTTTTGCCTTTTTAGTTTCGCTTAGGCCGTAGTTGACACCTATACGTATGTATGTTATATATGTGTATATACATTTAGTATTTTACGCTTCACCTTTGTAAGAATTAGTTTCTTTATAATAGTCATTGACCAATTAATTTTCTATACTAATTTTAATCTATGCTAGTCAATAAAACAATAATTTAAAACGGTACTAACTGGAGGAAATTCTGGTAAAGATTTTAATAATACTGTTAAATTAGTTATTGTAGGTATATTCGCTTTTTCTGATAATATTTCTCTAATAAAAAAAGTGCCTATTATTATTTCTACTGTTTAAAATTTAATATTTTTAGAGATATATAGAAAAGGATCCTCTAAAGATCTAGATTAGGTACTCAGTAATACTTACTAAAAGATAGATGTTGTGGTATCTTTTTTGGGGTCATGATTGTGATTAGTTACATAGTGAATAGGGAATAGCTGGTACAGTTATATTACGTGTAGCAAAATTAACCAAATATATTTATTAAATGGAATGATGTAAAGTTTTATTGATGAGATTAAATTTAGCCTTACCTACCAAGTATAAAAATATATATATACGGGTTCAGAATATCGGAAAACAAGCAGGGAGAAAAAGGAATTGAGACTGTTTTGTTTTTACTATTAATATATTCTATTCGTATAAAGATTAATTTAAATAACGTCAACCGAAAAGATTTGGTTAGTTATGTTATGATGTGTAACGAAAGTACCATAAATGCCATAAACGTCCATCGCCCGTTTGATGTACGGTGTGGCGATGGGCGGGTGGCAGCGCGAGCGTGCGGTACATTGTGTGCGTGCACAGACTCGGGTCTGGGGCGCGCCACGCCGCCGCGGCGCGCGGCCTCGCCCGGCCTGCGCACGCTGGGCTCGCCCGCCTCGCACTCCGGACACTCCGGACACTCCGGCTCCGGCTCCGGCCCGGGCTCGCTGCCCGGCGCCATCGGCAAGCGCCGCCACCACGCCAGCGAAGACACCTCCGACGTTTCCTCCACGCACTCCTCCATCATGGACTACTCTGGTGAGTACTTACTGTTGCCCCTTCCTCGATATCATACTACTATTATATTTTAAGTATACCGAGATCTGACTGTATAATTTGTATTACTTATTCTTTATTTAAACGTTAAAAGGACGAGAGCGTCACGGCCGACACGTTCGGACGCAATCGACGTTTCGATCGAAATCATTATGTTTCCGTCCAGTGTAAACTTCGATAAATATGTAATTCATATTGTATACATACTAAATGTAAATTTATAACATGTACAAATAGATTATTTGAACGGGGAGAGCGTCTTTCAAACACTAACTAGCACTTATAAATAATCACGTTCTAAAATGAAACCAAATGTCCACCGACAATAATGACAACCGTTTTAGCACTGATCGCTGAATAATCCGTTTGTCCGTGTAGCGAGCTCGGACAGAAGTCAACGTAACAAAGGTCCTAATACAATTATTAGGTAGCTAGTCCCCACCGACACGTATTTAGATTGACACGTACTCACTATTGAGCCACAGTAACGAACCGATGTCATGCCAACAGTGAACCATTACATTTAAGGCATGGTGTTGACCAGCATTTTGATCTAACGACGCATTTGACGCTTGGACTACGCTTTCTCACAGAATTGACGATTAACACAATAATCACGCATCTATTGTGCATTCACTTGCATTTTACATCGTTTTTTACTAATTTAGTTGTAAATAAACATTTCAACAGCTGAACGACACTTCAATATCCTCAATACACCATAAGAGAAAATAAATATTTTAAACAAAATTAAGCTACATATGATAATCAAATTTTGACTTGAACAAAACACAATTTTTATCAGAACAATATGCAATTTTAAATTATTTTCTAAATTATACGTTTTATTTTATTCATATTCACTTAGATTAATCATAATATAATATTGATATGCAAATATGATTTTCTACATTGATCTTTACTATATTTTGCTACTATCACGACATTTAAGTAAAAGTAAGGTCACATTTAGTGGTGAGTGTGGTGGTGTTCTGGTGTTAAACTAATATAAATGACCAACTCCAGGTCCAAGACTGTACAAGCAGCCGACGACGAAGTCCAATCGCGGGATAATGTTAAACGCTGTCGAATACTGCGTGTTCCCCGGGGCGGTGAACGCGGAAGCTAAACGACGGGTGCTGGAAGAGATCGCGCGCTCCGAGAGCAAACATTTCCTCGTGCTGTTCAGAGACGCGGGCTGTCAGTTCCGTGCTTTATACTCGTATTGCCCTGACACCGAACAGGTCACCAAGCTCTACGGTACAGGACCGAAAAATGTGAATGACAGAATGTTCGATAAGTTCTTTAAGTAAGTAACAAGTTTTTTTGAAATGCATACCTCTTACATGGTCTAAAGCCGTACAATAAATGTCTAGATGTTTTCTTGTAGTGTAGTGTTTTGTAGACCAATAATACAATACCCAGTATACTCAAAAACCGGTCTGCTGTGATCTTTCTAAGGTATAAGGGAATAAAGATTATAATTGCGGTAGTCTATGTCGAAACATAGAAATAATAAGTGAATCTTTAAAACCTGAATCTTGTTGAATTTGGGTTGTATATGTCCCAGCTTTTTTCATTTTGAATCCGAGGGTTGACCACTATTCAAAAATAGTTTTAAACGTTTCTCATGTTTAAAATAATACCTGAAAATTTATATTTTATTCATTTACATCAACAGCCTTTAACAGTCCACTGCTGGACATAAGCCTCTCCTTAGAAAGTAGGTTTTGGCCTACTATACCACGCTGGCTACACGGGTTGGTATAGGGTTTGTGTCAAGTTTTCCTTCTTTCTGCAATGCTGTTGTTCTGCGTAGTTTTTTTCCCTTAGTCGGCTCTTACGACACCCACGGGATGAAAAGGTGGTGACACTCTGTATTCTTAATCCGTCACCACGCGGATAAGATTTTATTCATTATTTTACTCTTATATCAAATAAAAGTAAATTTTTTGATCAAATAAAAAAATGTATACTTGGCATTATGGTCACGTTATTACGTATGGCGTCATTATTCCAAAAAAACAAACTGACTGCCACAGACTACTATAGTTTCCATGCACTAAACACATCCTTTTCCTATTATTTAAGGGTCACTATTTCCACACTGAATAGTATTTCTATACCAGCTGTCAAGATATTAAGCGATTACGTCACAGTTTCTGAGGGCCAAGTGTGAGTTTATATCTTGCTCGCTCTCGATGGCGTTCGGCGTTGTGATTGGTGAAGATTTCGGGCCAATCTCAACGCCGAACGCGTTCTCCGTGATGATTTAGTTGATGTGAAATAAACTCACTAGACCTCAGAGGGGCGCCTAGTGTGTTTATTTCACTGAAATCTTCACCAATCGCAATGTCAATCCTGAGGGCCGGTGCAAGTTCATTTCGAATCGAATCGCTCTCGACGGCGAGCGCGTTTAGCGTTGTGATTGGTGGAGATTTCAATGCGGGTCAATCATAGCGCCGAACGCGGTTACTGTGACGATCGAGTAGAAGTGAAATAAACTCGCACTAGGCCCTCTGATGTCCTAGTGCGAGTTTATTTCACATCTAATCGATCGCCACGGGGCGAGCGCGTTCGGCGTTGCTATGGGCCAATAGCTACTCTGAACAGGCTCACGTGACGATCGAATAGATGTAAAATAATCTCGCAGTAGGGCCTCTGAATCGTTTTTGCAATCACGTGAGTCACGGATAAAAAATCCTATGTTTCTCAAAGGATAAATGGTTTAAAGCTTTAAACATGCAACGCGCTATTACCTTTAGAAACTCACGCATACCCTGGTCCGTGATTATGAGGTTCCCTTATTGAGTTATAAAGTATATTATCAAAACTAATAATAATCCTTTAATTCCAGATATAACTCGGGCAGTAAATGCTTCTCGCAAGTGCACACGAAGCATTTAACAGTGACCATCGACGCTTTCACGATACACAACTCCCTGTGGCAAGGCAAGAAGGTCCAGCTCCCCAGCAAAAAGGACATGGCCCTCGTCATATAGACTACTCAACTTTAAACAATCATTATCTAGTCGCCGGCGGCACTCGAGTCAAGCCTTTTTAATGTTCAGTTTATGGTAGGGCGATAGTGCCAGTGTCCATTAATTACATTGTATTTTAAAATGTCGGTTAGTGTGTTTCCACGGAAGCTGTTTTATTGAGAATGAGAATTATGTTAATTTCGTGCTCGTGTAAGGTGTGTTCGACCGATGTGATGACCGCCCGCCGCATCCGATGAATGCTGTAATCAGTTCTGTCTCGAGTCCTAGGAAGCAATAGTAGGTAATGTAGGGCGGGGCCAGCGGTGCCTGTGTCATATTGTACAGTGAGTCGGGAGCGAACGCGTGCGTGTCGCATCAGCTGTTTGTGTTGTAATTTATTTCTCGTGTCGAGCTTTTGCGGTCTCGTCAGGACCAGCCGTGACGTCATCGGATCGCTTCGTGTAACGTATGTATGCGTTGATTAATGCTGCGTTAGTTCGAGATGTTTTTACTCAGTGTATAATCGCAATGTTTGCCATATGTATTAGTGAGATGGTCGATACGTTCCAAATTAATAAAATTGTCTCAAAAACGTTACAGCCAACAGTCGCATTACGGTCGACGCTTTAGGTACGTTAATTTTGTTTAGTAGAACTGTCTTCTCACATATAAGTAACAAGTTCACAAACTAATAATATCGCTTATTTGTTGTAATATTTAACTCGTTAGTGATTATGTTGTATTTGACTGGAGCTAAGAATTTGTTTAACTGACCCATTCAACGTTATTTCAATTTCCATTTTTTTTACTGCTTGTATAGCTAAACGTAAGAGAAGGCACATTTTACGTGGTAATTGTACTGCCTTATCCTGTAAATAATTGTTTTTTTGTATACAGCTATTTATTAAACGAATGTTAAAGGTGAATTGATGAATATCATTTTTCATTGTTTAATGATTGGTCATCAATACTATACTACCGATAGTATATGATATGCAAATATATTGTATTACTTAAAACCATAACGAAATAATATTGAATTTCATATTACTTTTTTGTTTCATTTCCTCATATGAACCATCACATCAGTCACGACTGAGTTTCTCTCGCAGTGGATTGAGCCGATTGAGGAGTATCTCTTACATATCTTGTAAGGAGATGCCCCTCAATCGGCTTAACGTGGTAATTTTTCAGCGACATCAACATAAATATTTGCAAACCACTGTAGTGTTTACTTTTAAGTACGAATGTACCTCTAAACCAGGGGTACCCAAAGGGGTCGATATGCGACCACTGGTCGAAATCGGTTACCCAGGGGTCGACATAAATGAAAACTGGTTTTGTGGGTCAACGAAGTCTAAAACTCGACCCCTATTAATTGACACAAGATACAGGTATTAGTTGTGTTATGTGTACCAACTTGTTATTAGAATGACTAATATTTTAGTAGGAAGTATCATTGTTGTACAACTCTATAATGGTGCAATCGTTTTCTGAGGGGGTCTGAGGTATTAGTTTATTTTAGATAAGGGGTCTCTTGCCCAAAACGGTTTAGGAATCCCTGATCTAAACGAACGTAGCAGCAGGGAGGGGGGGGGGGAGGGATTCCTAATACGAATAGGGGTGGTGACAGTTCGTATTCTTAATCCGTAACCACACGGACAGTGATGCCATAAAAAAAACACATCTGCAAAACTTTACAGCCGAATCTTGTACAGTAAATACATAGCAGCATACTTTTTTATAAATAGCTATGCATCAAGACACTTGTAGAAATTAAGAGTAAAAGATTGTTCCCCTATTCCACAAGTAGTACTATTAAAAACATCTTTATAGGCCAGGCATATATGTGCTACGTGTATAATTATCCAAAATGCACCACTGCACATAATAGTACTAGTACTAATAAAGTAACATGTTTTCGTTTTTAATAGTACTTAGGTAATTAAGTAGGGGTTGTTTTAATTAAAATTGTTTTCACGGCTTTCTTTTATTTTTATTATTTGTAATAACAAGTAATTCAGGAATACCTAATTAATCATAAAAACCCATGGTTTTTTATCCCAGGTACCAGTCCGATCAGTAGGGATATATAGAGCAGAAGATTCCCTAACGGTAGTGATAATATAATTGAAAAACAACTCCAAATATTCCTACCAGTGGAGATACATCAGTATAATGGAATCTTTGGATAAATAAAATAAAGCGCAGTGTCATTTAAAAAATATCTTTATTGGTTATATGCCTATATAACAATTATATTAATCAAATTCTAATACTGGCTAAAATTATTGGCCGTTGTGACTAATCGTATTATTGTACTAGTTACATCGACGGTAATATCGCTAACTAAAATTGTATAAATTTCAATAATGAAAATCACGTTTAAATTAAACATTTATATTAAGAGATCAATCAACATTGCGAGAACATAATTATAAGTAATAAAATACATCTTTGAATCGATGCAGTTGATACTAAACTTGCTATACCCGCAGTCATCAGCTTTTTTATTTCTTATAAAAAATATTGTGCACGTACGTATATATATATATATATATATATTATATATATATTTATTATATATATATTATTATTACTACTTGTCCCTGTTACTCTCATAAGCATATTGTCATCCTGCTAATACAAAATTGAACGATATCACTAACCTTAATTTTAAATATTTTGGGTATCATGACTTGTTTTTTTTTGGCATTTTGTATGTTAGTGTTGCCAAACAAATATGTTTGGAAGTTTTGGAAACTTCCAAACATATTTGTTGACACAAACATCTCTGATCAATCTTTTTTAAAACCTTTAATGAATCTGAACAATTAGTAAAAACTATACTGAGCATTAAAGTATTATATAGAGCAAAATTGCTTATGACAGATGGTATGCATAGTGTTGATATTTGATGTGCCGAATATCCATCTGTTATTTCTTCGCGACTGATAATCAAATTTGATTACGTTTATAAAAATAAATAATCAAATATCTAAAGCAGTAAGTTAAAAGTTAGGAAATAGTATTTGACTATCATTATGATGATACCAAACGCTTAAGTCTTTGTGATATGAATTATGCATTTTAATACACTAAAATGCATAATTCAAGAAAGCATCAGGCGTATCGACAGCAATTGAGAAATATCGTAGTCGTGGATCTAGACAATTATACTATCCACAGGTAAATTTTAGCAACCCTGAACTATTAATTACAATATTATTGTGACTGCATCGACTCACAAACCCGCAAATGGCGTACAATTACGTTAGTTACAATCACTTTACAATACATTAAATATAACTTAAACGATAGTGAAGTAGTGAGTGACGGGCGCTGACACGTTGTTGTCCACGCTCTTTTGTAGATTCAATTGATGCACTATCGTGTCCGGGTTGTCCACTTCCTGCGAATTTAGAAACATTGAAAGCTTTATGAAAATACTGCACTGCATATTAACACCTGCATGGTTTGAGTAGACAGTAAGAATCCGTGTTGGTAGTTTCCCTAGTACCTTACTACTACCCAACTAGGGTCATGATGTGCCTTGTATAATTACAAAGCACGTCGTATAACCCGGCAATCTCGTGCGCGACCGTCCCGCGGGCTGACAGACAGTGGCGGGGGCGAGGTAGCGCGTCCCACGGCTACAGCGTTTCCCTTCCCCGCTACCCGCTGACATCTTGAGTACCTCGTCCGCCACCGTCTGTCACCCCGCAGGACGGTCGCGCACGACGTTGGACTTATAGCCTTTAATCAATTGAATTGAAGAAATATATATACCTCTTCATCAGCATATCCATTTATTTCAACAGGAATTGTCTGGCCATCTTGTGTAATCACCTAAAATCATCATAATTATGTATAATCGTTCATCGTATATGACAGTTTATTCACATAATTAGCAAAATTACAAGCATGTTACATACCTGTAAAGATTTACCATCAGCAGACGTGATAGCAAGTCTTGTGCCATCTTGCATCGTGAAATGGAGTGGATTGCCTTGTTCATCTGTCACCTGAAACATTCATTCATTAAAGTTTTGCTAAATAATAGTTTTGCATCTGTAATATATTGATTAATAATTTGACTGTGTGGTAAAGAAAAACGCTCCAGCTCCTTTTTAATAACATTTTCTGGCAAAGGTGCATATTACTAAATAACATACATATTTTGAATTTTCTTGTTGATTTCAATGAGTTCATTTATGTTTTAACGCAGTGTGTTTTTTTCAAAATATCCACAACCTTCTTTCACCAAATACTTTACATTTAGTTAATTTTAAAACAAAACGCTGAATTTCTATATAGTCACGATTTTTGCTAGAAATTTTCCCTTAATATTAATTTTAGGGGCTACCCATAACATACGATCCCAAAGTATGATCCCACTTAGAAAAACATCTTGATAGTTTAGTTTTATAGTACATGTAGTATGGTCATTAATGTAAAGTATGATTTGTATAAATCTTGTACATATTTAGAAAAGGTTTTGGTTATGTTTTGACCCCCAATTTAATATAAAGAAGGTTGTTATACGTTGTCTATCCGGGACTATTTGTGACATCATAATTTTTAACCTGATGGGCCATTTCATAGGTTTTTTCAAGTTTGACAGGAGACTTAGGTATAGTTTAAGAAAATCTGTTTGTTTAAAGATCATCAGCTCTTTTCTAATTGTTGAGAAGATTTTCGACCCGAGGGTAATATAATTGTTTTATTAAGTTTATCTACATGGATTCCTGAAAAAACGCGTTTTGTCGGAAAAAACATTGAGTTTAAACATCAAATAGAGATATTACCGAGGTACACTTACAGGCATATGTTCATGTCCTTCTAACACAAGTTGTTCCTGTAGCTGCTCTAGGTCTTCTTGTTCCAATGGTTCCGACGCCAACTCCAATTGTTCCAGTTTTGGTTGTGGGACAAGCAGTGATGGGCCCGAATATAACTCGCATGTTGTCATCACTTTATTTTCATCAAGACCGGCCGCCTGGAACGTGGGGTTTAAAGTGTATTAGGTATCTCATGAGACCAACCACAGGTTCAATGTCAATACCATATCAGATTATTAAGATACCACTAAGATTATTTGTGTCATTTATGTTATTATTATTAGGTTTGTTAAAAAATCACTGGCCTGTTGGTCTAGTGGTTAGTGACCCTGACTGCTAAACCGGAGGTCGTGGGTTCGATTCTCACCCAGGACAAATATTGTGTGATGAGCATGGTCATTTGTTCTGTGTTTGGGTATAATTTATCTATAATATGTATCTATTTAAAGATATATAAGTATGTTTATCAGCAGTCTGGTTAGCATAGTACAGGCTCTGTCTGGTTTGGGATTGGACGGCCGTGTGTGAGACCTATGAGATATATTATTACTGCTATAGCTATGTAGGTTTGACTGACCTGTTCTGGGGACAGTATATGGAATGCTGGCGAGTCAGCTTCGTCAACGTCATAGGTCACATAAATGACTCTCTCTTCGAGGGAGTCTTCTTGGGTCTCGAATTTCATGCCAATCGGTGAACTATTTGGGACGGACACCGTTTGTTGGATCTGCTGGGGTTGAGGCTGCGAGTTGGCGAGTAAACTGATCTGTTTATGAACTTGCTGTAGAAAAATAATTTATTTAGATACTTTTAAATTTTATACATTTATTTTTGGACATATTCAATTTACGACGGTAGTTAGTCAGGAAAAAATCGATATCGGTTGAAGCACTCGGCGAGTGTTATTTTTAAAAAATTATGATGAGATATCTGATGAAAATATCTGTAAAATTATAAATTTATTGGAAAAAGAGTAAACTTCTTTGGAGTGTAAATTGCGAAGAGAATAATCTTTTGAGCGCCGTAAACGTTATCCTCTTTCGGATACGTTATTTATCGTAAGGATCTTTTTACATACGGTTTACCGCTCCTTCATTAGATTCATGTAAAGTTAGTGGGAAGAGAGCAAATCGAATGGTGGTATACCTTCTTGTGCTTGTTGAGGTTGGAGCAGTCGGCGAAGGCGCGCGGGCAGTGCGGGCAGCGGAAGGGGCGCTCGCCCGAGTGCGTGCGCATGTGCTTCAGCAGCGCCCAGCGCTCCGCGAACGTGCGCGCGCAGCACGAGCAGCGGTGAGCGCCCCCCGCCCCGCCCGCTCCGCCCCCCGGCCCACCCGCACCGTCCCCCGGCCCGCCCGGCGCACCGCCCCCCGCCTCGCGCCGCACGTGCGCCGCCCACGAGCCGCGCGACACGAACCTGATACGTACACTCTTATTTACACTCCGTCACTAGACCTAGGCCTCGATTCTGCTATTCTTATATTGTATCAATAAACTGTCGTCGCGATAGTTTTGTACTTTTCGTATTTTACTGATGACTTATCACTGAACTGCCACTGATACAAATTTTGTCGATGTCTTTGTAATAGTTTAGTAAACGATACATTTTAAATCTGTAAGAAAATGCTATATTTAATTTTCCAAGTATAGCGATGTTGTTGATATCACCATTGATGACCTATATTACTATATCGACGATCTATCGATACTGTGAATTTATGTTAATAGAATACTGATATTTTGACCGATCTCAATAGCGTATCAATGGAATGACAGTGACATAGCGTTTACATAAACTTGATTTAATAAACAATAAAAGAATGCGAATACATACTATAAACTGTAGAATTTTTTAGATTTTTTAGACCGATGACGAGCATCTCACCTCTTCCCGCAGTGCGTGCAGGCGTAGGGCCGGTCGGCGGCGTGGCGGCGCGCGTGCAGGCGGTGCTGGCTCGACGTCGTGAAGCGGCGCGGGCACAGCGAGCACTGGAACGGCTTCTCGCCCGTGTGGATCCGCTCGTGCTCCGATAGATTCCCCTTCTGACTGAAACTCTTACCGCACGTGTTGCACGAGTAAGGTTTCTGACCTGATATATAAAATGATGCTCATGACTTGTGAATTCTTGTTACTATCAAAAACTAGCTGACCCGGCGAACTCTGTTCCGCCTTAAAGGCAACAAATAAGCCGATTCTCGAATTTAGTAAGTTAATTTTTTTCTTAGAAAAAATCTTCCGTCTTTGAAAATTCTTCGATGAAGCATTCCAAGTATAATAACGTGGCATCTCCGAGTAAAGCAAAGTTCGTGCAAACTTTTTTTTTTTTTTTTTCGGAATAAATAGTATCCTATGTCCGTCTCCTGGCTCTAAGCTACCTCCTCACCAATTTTCAGCCATATCGGTAAAGCCGTTCTTGAGTTATAAATAGTGTAACTAACACGACTTTCTTTTATATATATAGATATAACTCGATATACTTCACGCGACATACGACTACCTAATTTGACGCTACCGGCGGCACCGAATCGCATGGAGACTTGCGGTAGCAACATAATATACTAATTGTACGAGGGCTGCTATTTATGTATCCGGAACTGGCCAGTTACAGAACAATATTAAAAAAGTAATATAACATTTAAAAACAAATTGTATTCTTCAACCAGAGTTTCACTCACAATACAATTTGTTTCATGTAGCTGTCATTTGTTTATCCTTTGTGGCGTTATTTTGAAAATTGCGTCTTTATTACTATGGATTTGACTCGTGAAAATGTTCGTGCTATGACTTATTACGATTTTCAGCGAGAGCTTACTCAAAAACAGTACATCGATCAACGCACTTCGACTTTTGGGGACGAAGCACCATCGAAAACAACTGTATCACTGGTTTACTGAGTTTAATCTGTCTGTGTGTTGGGCTGTCTGTGCTCATGGACGAATTTAAAGAAGGTCGCCCTAAATCGGTTGTTATACCTCAAAATGTTGATGCTGTGTGGGAACTAATAATGCAAGATCGTCATGTTACAAATCGTCTCTGGGAATAAGTATGAGTATATATAAAATATTACACGAACATTTAGCTGAAAAAAAATGTTCACGTTGGATTCCGCACAACTTCAGAATTGACCAAAAACGGGTTCGTGTCGATTAGAGTAAAATAATGTTACAAAAGTACAATGAGGGTGCGTCAAAGATGTCTAAAATATCCACACAGGTGATGAATCTTGGATATATGTTTATGATCCTGAAACTAAACAACAAACAACGGTTTGGGTGTTCCAAGATTAACCGAACCCAACAAAAGACATTCGTTCAAAAAGCACTTTGAAGCAAATGGTCGCTTCTTTTTTGGTATAAATGGACATATAGCTACAGTGCTACTAGAGGATCGTAAAACGGTTAATTCTGAATGGTACACGACCATTTGTATGCCAGAAGTCTTTGAAGAAATAAGAAATGATAAGCGACTACGCAGAATCCTTCATCATGACAATGCTAGCTCTGCCACACATCTGCCGAAACAACTCAGTATTTGGAAGATCGAATTAACGGGTCATCCGCCGTACAGCCTTGACTTGGCCCCCAACGACTTCTTTTTATTCCCAATCGTGAAGAATACATTACGTGTTCAACGTTTTTCGAGCCGTGAAGAGGCTGTTGATGCGTTCAAAATGCAAGTTTTGGAGATACCACAATCAGAATGGAGTGCTACGAAAATTGGTTCCAACGTATGCAAATGTGCATCGATCATCACGAATATTTTGAAAAGCAATAAAACTATAATAAATGCCATATTGTTTCACTTTGTTATTCCAGCCTTTGTTATAAATAGCAGCCCTCGTATAATATCGTTTTAAAGAACAGTTTAATGAAACAAATCAGAGCAGTGATAACAATGGCAGTAGGGTAATGCATAATTACTATTAAAAATTATTACTCTACTACCGACTCTCATTATTTTTTCTCTTGCTGTAAGATATTACAAAACAATGTTTATTTTATCTCACACCCAACAAACAAGTGATGTTGCAATATAAGATATTTCCGTACATCAAATGATCTGAAGAATATAACCCAGTTTCTAACTGATTCTTACGTGCTCATAAAATTAATGCTGCCTATTTCCTTTGTTAATAATGGAATTTATATATATGAAAATATTGATCCACCTCACTCGGAAGCCAAAAGGCTATGAAATGCCAATGCTACAGCACGTCGACTTAGGTCTATATCGCAGATACTGCTAACAGCATTCAAAAGTACAGCCGGGCTTATAAATACCTGCTCTCATCAACGGCCTTTAATAGTCCACTGTTGGACATAGGCCTCTCCTTAGAAAGAAGGTTTTGGCTTACTGTACTACGCTGGCCAGAAGGTTGGTATAGGGTTTGTAGTTTTCCTTCTGTTTGCAGTGCTGTTGTCCTGCATAGCTTGCTCCCTTAGTCGGCTCTTACGACACTCACGGGATGAATAGGGGTGGTGACACTCTGTATTCTAAATCCGTCACCACACTACCTGCTCTATTCTCTGGAAATATATTGCATGTTGACTATCATAGACCAATTTTCAATTTTTTTCTATATTATACGAGAAACGCTTAAAGAACCTGAAACAACTCTAAAGGATCGCAGAGATCGAGGAAATTTGTAATTTTTATTGCTAAAAAAGATACCCATACAATTATTTTTGAAATTTATTATAATTTAATAGTGAAATTTAATCATCAAAAATTGGCTTTTTAAGATTCCCTCGCAAATTTCTAAAACGCAACGCTATTGGTTGAATAAAACGTGACGTCAACCTACACTGTCAAGAGTGTCAACAAGTTGTGTGTATTTGTAATATTTGGTTTCTGGTGATTATTTGTTTCATTTTAAGTTAATAACTAATACGTTTTCAGTGTTAAATTATTAAATTCCCGTTTAGAAAGACTCAACACAATGACTGAATATACTTTGTCAGGTGCAGTTTTGATATTATTTGGGCACAAAGGAACGGCACAATATTTATAATAAGTTTTTATTGGCTCTTCCATGGTAATAAGTTAATTTTTATCACTCACTTTTTTAACTTTCACAAACTTTGTGAACTTCACTCCGTTGTTGACATCGAATTCGTCTGAAAGTGTAATCTGACGTCACAAAAAAGCGCGCCAAAATGGACGTGTTCAAATTGCCCCAAAATGATAGTGATTTTAATAAATTTTTATTTGCTTAACGGTTTATATTTCGGATGTGTTATATTTATTTTTGGTAATGTAATAACTAGTAGAATCGTTTAAAAAAAATAAAAAAATACACGCATATTCCCTATTGTGTAGTCACAGCGTGGAACAAGCTTCCAGGTGATTTTATATTTGCCCCGAATGTGAACCAAGTCAAAAATCGACTCGACAGATATGTTATTGAATCCAAGAAGGACAACTAATAGGAATCTCTCAGGATTGAAAGCTTTTAACAGTGGTTTCAAATGAGTGCACGTTGTTATAATAATAACAATAGATTTGTTTTGTCAATCACGAAGACCACTAGTTCTCTCCAATTTCATTTCCGCTATCTCTTTCTCTCTGTATAATAATGAGGTGGCGAATGCATTATTACATTTGCGTAGCACTCTTCCCACATAAGTAGTAATCACAGAACAGTGAGTTTATTCACTGTTCTGTGGTAGTGATGACGAATGTGTGCGCCTAAACAGCGTGAGCTTTGTAGTTTAATATACATTGTTCCATAGCAGAAATACAAATAAAAGACCAATTCCATTCCAATTCCAATTCAATCCTAGAAAAATATAAATATTTCACCCTACTCAGCTAGAAAAAAATATATTTCAAACAAAATTATGGATGAGGTTTCATGTCTAGTATTAGAAAACGACCCGACTATTAAAAAATAGTTCTTAGGAGAAAAATGTATGCTTGCTGCAACATGCGGTCAGTTATTTTTGATCTTGGATTTGAACACATATTTGGAACGCTGTAAGTTACATATTTATGGTCCTGAGTATACGTGTCACGGGGAAGCGTCGCCACGGACGGCAGAGGCCGGTTAACACAATCACAAATGAACCAACTCACCGGTATGCCATCGCATGTGCAACGTGAGACTGGTCTTGTGTGCAAACTTATGTTTACATATCTCACAGGAGAATTTTTTGACACCCGTATGTAACAGCTGATGATTAAGTAGGTTTCTCTTAGTTTTGAATGAAGCTTCACAAGTCTGGAACAATTATATTATAAATTTTATTTGCGTGGGCTTCATTAATCTAGAATAACACAAAGTTAATTGGTATATGTCAGAAGCTTTGTGTGTACATTTTTAGAGGTGTAAAAATGACAAGATAAAGCGATATTGTGTTAAAAGGACTGTTGAATTGTGTTGACAGATGAATAATAATCTACTAAGTGTGGACACGAGAACATAATTATTTTTATACATTATGGAACCTTATTGGAGCAACCTGGACGTAATGGAAAATGATATAGAAAGCATTTTATTAGTGAAAGTCGATAAATACCTTGCATGTGTAAGGTCTGACTTGAGAGTGAACGAGTTGATGTCTTTGCAATAACTGTATGTGTTTAAAGGACTTGCCGCATTTGTTGCACACGTATCGCTGGCCTGCGTGTTCGGCTTCCTTGTGGTACACAACCGAGGACGGATGATTCAGAACCTGTAAACGAATACGAAAATATTTATTTTTAGAGTATCGTTTTTTTTGACATGAAAAAGATCCATTACAGGAACCATTTAGAATCAGTTCATTGTACATTTGGGTCTCGCTGAGGAAGTCGGCTAAGACGCTACAGTTACCTTCCCGCACAGGTCGCAGGCGTAGCCCTTGGCGTGTCGCGGGCGCTGGCGGCGGTGCGACACGGCGTGCAGCGCCAGCGAGCGCGGGTAGGTGTGTATAATGGTCGTCTCGCTGAGGAAGTCGGCTAAGACGCTACAGTTACCTTCCCGCACAGGTCGCAGGCGTAGCCCTTGGCGTGTCGCGGGCGCTGGCGGCGGTGCGACACGGCGTGCAGCGCCAGCGAGCGCTGGGTAGGTGTGTATAATGGTCGTCTCGCTGAGGAAGTCGGCTAAGACGCTACAGTTACCTTCCCGCACAGGTCGCAGGCGTAGCCCTTGGCGTGTCGCGGGCGCTGGCGGCGGTGCGACACGGCGTGCAGCGCCAGCGAGCGCGGGTAGGTGTGTATAATGGTCGTCTCGCTGAGGAAGTCGGCTAAGACGCTACAGTTACCTTCCCGCACAGGTCGCAGGCGTAGCCCTTGGCGTGTCGCGGGCGCTGGCGGCGGTGCGACACGGCGTTGCAGCGCCAGCGAGCGCGGGTAGGTGTGTATAATGGTCGTCTCGCTGAGGAAGTCGGCTAAGACGCTACAGTTACCTTCCCGCACAGGTCGCAGGCGTAGCCCTTGGCGTGTCGCGGGCGCTGGCGGCGGTGCGACACGGCGTGCAGCGCCAGCGAGCGCGGGTAGGTGTGTATAATGGTCGTCTCGCTGAGGAAGTCGGCTAAGACGCTACAGTTACCTTCCCGCACAGGTCGCAGGCGTAGCCCTTGGCGTGTCGCGGGGCGCTGGCGGCGGTGCGACACGGCGTGCAGCGCCAGCGAGCGCGGGTAGGTGTGTATAATGGTCGTCTCGCTGAGGAAGTCGGCTAAGACGCTACAGTTACCTTCCCGCACAGGTCGCAGGCGTAGCCCTTGGCGTGTCGCGGGCGCTGGCGGCGGTTGCGACACGGCGTGCAGCGCCAGCGAGCGCGGGTAGGTGTGTATAATGGTCGTCTCGCTGAGGAAGTCGGCTAAGACGCTACAGTTACCTTCCCGCACAGGTCGCAGGCGTAGCCCTTGGCGTGTCGCGGGCGCTGGCGGCGGTGCGACACGGCGTGCAGCGCCAGCGAGCGCGGGTAGGTGTGTATAAGGTCGTCTCGCTGAGGAAGTCGGCTAAGCCGCTACAGTTACCTTCCCGCACAGGTCGCAGGCGTAGCCCTTGGCGTGTCGCGGGCGCTGGCGGCGGTGTGCGACACGGCGTGCAGCGCCAGCGAGCGCGGGTAGGTGTGTATAATGGTCGTCTCGCTGAGGAAGTCGGCTAAGACGCTACAGTTACCTTCCCGCACAGGTCGCAGGCGTAGCCCTTGGCGTGTCGCGGGCGCTGGCGGCGGTGCGACACGGCGTGCAGCGCCAGCGAGCGCGGGTAGGTGTGTATAATGGTCGTCTCGCTGAGGAAGTCGGCTAAGACGCTACAGTTACCTTCCCGCACAGGTCGCAGGCGTAGCCCTTGGCGTGTCGCGGGCGCTGGCGGCGGTGCGACACGGCGTGCAGCGCCAGCGAGCGCGGGTAGGTGTGTATAATGGTCGTCTCGCTGAGGAAGTCGGCTAAGACGCTACAGTTTACCTTCCCGCACAGGTCGCAGGCGTAGCCCTTGGCGTGTCGCGGGCGCTGGCGGCGGTGCGACACGGCGTGCAGCGCCAGCGAGCGCGGGTAGGTGTGTATAATGGTCGTCTCGCTGAGGAAGTCGGCTAAGACGCTACAGTTACCTTCCCGCACAGGTCGCAGGCGTAGCCCTTGGCGTGTCGCGGGCGCTGGCGGCGGTGCGACACGGCGTGCAGCGCCAGCGAGCGCGGGTAGGCGAAGCGCGCGCCGCACTCGCCGCACACGTACGGCCGCTCGCCCACGTGCGCCGCCTGCACGGAACCACTAATATGACCACGAGGCACACTCATTTACTTTATATGTATATGTACAAAAATGATGCTCTTTAAAATAATTTCAAAAATAACAATATCGTTATATTTTGAAGTGAAGTTCTTCTTTGGGCGCGTTGGCCATATTTGCACAACAAACAAAAGAACGTATTTAAGATGGGAATAAACCATTGAACTCGCGACACTGTTACCGTTACCGACACCTCTGTATATAAGATAAGTATCTTCATATATTGGCCCCTTTTACACGAGAATCGAGTTTGGGTTAAAATACATTGATAACTAGCTGGTACCCGCGACTGCGTTCGCGTGGAATTTGAAAAGCGCCGCCTTTAGTGGGTTTGATTCCGGACCGGGCAAAATTTTAAAGAGTTTTTGAGAGGAAGAAAAGTCTCAGTTACTCTTTATATAGACAGCTACCTGGTAGTAAAATAATATCAAAATCGGTCCAGCCGTTTAGAAGATTACACCGAACAAACAGACAGACAAAAAAAACTGGCATAGGTATCATGCAAATAACCGTGTGAGCATGAAAAAAACTTCAATTTTATTTATTTGTATAGATATAACTATACAAGGTGTAAGGGACATCGTACCGAATACTGAAATAGTGTATTCAGAAGGATTCTGAGTCGAAAATCAATGAAATTTTCTGCCGGAAAATTCATCACTTTTTTAAATTTTCCATTTCTATAGTTAAAAATGATATCACAATGAGCAGACAAAACATTTTACCGAAAACAATTTAATAAATACCAAAAAACTGCAATGTAATTAATCAAACAGCCGAAGCACGCGGGGCCTCCCCTCCTGCGGCCTTTTTGTGTTAGTGTGCGTGGATTGTTTGCACGGAATACACATGTAGTTATTACTTTCGTGCGATACCAACGGGGAATGACCTTAACCTTCGACAACTGATTGCATATAAAGTTTAATTTTCCGGCAGAAAATTCCAATGATTTTAGACTGAGAATAATGGTCTGAATACACTATTTCCACCGTGTGTAATATAAATACATATTGTATTTATACATACAACATAGATATATATTCATGCCGGAACTTTTCGAATCGAAAAAAAATTCACTTTTGTCTGCACTCCCAGAGTGCCATGGTTTTTTTTATATAATTTTTAACTGCTTCGTAGTGGCTGTCAGTGATACAGGATTATAGTTTAATTCTTTTTTTTATGTGTCATACCTTAATATGCAGTGACTTGCTCTGTTTATTACTAAATGTTTTTTCACAGTGGGGGCAGTTCAGTCTTACTTTCCCTGCAGGTAAGGTCTCCACTTGTTCCACCTCATCAGACTTTTCTGTAACCTCTACTACATCAGGGGATGTATCTGTAAAATGTACATAATTCTACTTAAACAAAACATTTCTTTAACTGGCAAGTTAGTCAGAGAAATAAGAATTATAGATTTGATACATAGGTCAATTATTTCCCAGAAATCTCAGAATCAACTTACAAATAGGTATAGTTGATGCCTGGGCCTCAAATCTGTTATTTTAATGTTGTATCAATAGACTGTCGATGTCGAATGTCGTCGGAATTTATCATTTTGCACTTTTCGTAATCTACTAATAACTATGTGAGACCAATGGCTTCCCGATGATTTATTGTTGAACTGCCACTGATACAAATCTCGTTGATGTCTTTGTTATAATTTGGTAAACATATTTGGTACTTTCTAAATTTGTAAAGATATATATTTATATTTTTTTTATATAATTTTCCAGATATGACAATATTGTTGACACTACAATTGATGAGCCATTGCCACTACATCAACAGTCTATTGACACTGTAAATTTATGTTAGTAGAATACCAATAATTTCACCGATGTTAATAGCATCTCAACAGTGTGTCAAGCTCCAAGGAATGAGAGCGACTTCTATATTGACATAAAATAGCAGAATTGTATGTTATTATGCTAAGCCATTGGTTTTAATACAAAGATTTAGATGCCACTTGTCTTATTTTACTTACCCATGATTTTAACAGCACCTTCCACACTTGGACTAGAAGTTATTTCAGTGGTGAGGTCGTCAGAACGCAATTGTTCAGCCTCATTGATAACTGGCTCTGCACTTAGGTCAGGTAAAGCTGTCATCACATTGTCTACTAACATATTTACTGCCACATCAGGAGTCTCTGTTATGGGCTGAATACTTGCAGCTTGTGATTCCATTTTAATCATTTCTGATATGTTCTGAAACACATTAATAAAACAAAAATGTAAAATACTTATTTAATGTTGAATTATTTAAGTCACTTTTTTTAAAGTATTGGTACTCTTAGGAAGTGAGCAAAATTGTTTGCGAAGATATTTTAAACATATATTTTTTTAATTTAATGTTTTTTATTACAATTATTTCTTTAGTATTTTCACTAAAACAAGTAAATTTACTCTTACTTAATCACATATATATTTACAAAACTAATGTTTTGTATGTTTTTAGTTTAATATTATTAAGCTTAAAAACATTATTCGAATGTGCTATCTCTACATACAATTCCAAAAGTCCATAAAGGTTTAGATCTATACTTAAGATCAGTATTCGGCTTACAAAACAGTAAAATGCATGTTTATATTTTTAAAAATTGTTGAAATTGTATGTATCTCTTTGTACCTGTATATTTTTAGCATTCTTCTTGCCAATTGGGATAACATTTTGTCCAACATGTTCCAGCTCTTTTTGATGGTTGGTGAAGTTAAGCCGGGTATCAAAGGTCTCTTTACACTGACCACATTGATATATGACCGGTCCATGATGGGCAACATGGGACATGTAACGTCCAGCACAGGAGAACTCCATACCACAGATTGCACATTCTTTGCGAGTTAAGCGCATTGGGCCTGAAATAATTTTGGATTTCTATTAGCTTTGCTCTGTTTTATAAGACTGTGTGTGCGTGTGACTGTGGTATAAGACCTTTAACATAAAAAAAAAACAGTTTAGAATAACCAAGTCTTTTTTACTGAGACAACAATGGGAATTTATTATCATGTTTTATAGCAGAAACCTCACATATTCTCAAATTTTGTTATTCTTCTTTTTGGATATAGTAAAGTACATTTTCAATCACAAATTCTGTGTATCAATAATTCCCTAAAAGTACTTTGTACAGTGACAATCTAAATGTTTTATCTGACTTTACCTTTTGGTCTACCCCTCCCCTTGCCTTTGACAAAGACCACCACTTCTCCCGAGTTCTCCATATGTCCTATAATTTCTGGCTCTTTTGACACAGGAACCTTTACTTCGATGTCCAAATTAGGTTTCAGATCACGGTCACTTTCCTCACCATCAGTCACTCCTTCTTCTTTAAATATTCTTTCAAGTTCTTTACCCTGAAATGGTTATAAAACCAGGTATAATCTTTAATAGATTAGGTCAGGACAAAATGTCATCTATCATAATAAATATTCTTTCAATCTTCAATTCTGTTATACTCTTGAGCTAACAAATGTCAGTTGTAGTAAAGTGTTAAACAACCAACATTAACTCAAATTGGTATTCTTGGTAATTATATTGTGTTGTATATATTTGAATTGGTATTCTGCTAGTGTTGGTAATACTTTACTACAAGAATATCTGATATGGTATTTGTGAGAGCAACAGTAGATCGAAACAGAATTTTGAACAAACTTTTGTTATAAGAATTGATCTTCATAGTATTTCTATTCTCAATGAAGTTATTTTGTTTCTTAAGTTAGAAATGTGTTCCCTAGGGTCTAATAAATTATTAAAAGAGCAGTTCACACGGATCTCTTATGTGTGAAGTGATAAGTATACTTAATCCAATAAGCAATCTGTATACATAAATTAATGTCATTTTGTGTTGTTTTCACAACTGAGTTATTCTAACTTAATTGAAGTAATAGATTTTCATGCAAGTATATAGACTTTCTTATTCTGTGTCATAGATACCCATAATCTGTATGCAACTAGTTTTGTTTGTAACAGACGTCTGAACGTGACTTCGATGTTGTGAGTGGGTTTGATAGCCTTTGAAATAAATATGATGATAAAGTTTATTAAGAGTAAAGGACTAAAGATTATACCTGCACAGCTTCTCTAAATCTAGTTGGTGTTTTCCGTCTCCGTTTTCCAGTAGGCTCTTCATCCTTATCACATACTTTTACAGAGTTTAACTCTTTTTCTTTTGCAGCTGCTTCTTGAGCCAACTCTTCAGGACTTTTGATCTTTTTAGGTGGCCTGCCTCGTTTACGTTTTGGTTTGTCAAGACCAGCCACTTGTAAAGCAATAGGGTGTTCCACTTGGTATACTCCATTACTTGTGTTTACTGGAATTTAGTTTTTTTTGAATAAATATAGAAAACTGTTTGACATCTAAATTATAATATTTTGAGATAACTCATCCGTACTAATATATACAACTGGCAGAATCAACTGACATATGATTGTCATCTACTATTGTTAATGGTATTTATTTAGGTATTTATGTAAGTTTATATGTATTTAAGTAAATGTTTGTACGTATGTATAATGTGTATATAATCTGTATGCGTATTTGTTATTATAACTACAAAACAAACTTTAACCAAAATGCACCTACTTCCTGTTCTCTCTGCATCACCCAAAGGTTGACTGGTAGAGAAAGCCTTAGACATTAAGTCCACCAATGCACCAAAAGTGTATGATGTATAAATAAATAAATAATATTATAAATGCTTAGGTATGTCTGTCTGTCTGTTACCTCTTTACGCTTAAACCCCTGAACCAATTTAGATGATATTTTTGGTATAGAGATAGTTTGAGTTCCAGGAAAGGATGTAGGATAGTAGTTGTTTTGATCACAGAAATCATCCTTGAAGGGGTAAAAATGGGCATGGAAAGTTTGTATGAAGAAGCAATAACTGCTGAACTGATTTAAATGACATTTGGGTTGGAGATAGTTTGATTCTTGAGGAAGGACATGGGCTACTTTTAAGGATATAAATATTGGTTAAAATAATAACTAACTAAATACTTAAATATTATAGATTTATACACACAGCCTTACACTGAATAAATCATATGTTTATCAAATATTTTGTACAGAGTGTGAGTTGAATTGAACCCAAATCCTGTATGTCAGTACCTCATCACTAATCTCTAGATCAACAAGCCAAAAAGTAGCAAAAGTTAGCCTTAACTGTCAATTTAAAACAAGTGATGTTTCCAAGTCTGATATCATCCGAGACATACATATGTTCATATGTATATTATTATTTTCTCAGGTTTTATAGGCGGTGTAGTTGTATAGTGAAATTGTAATGGATCACTGATATTAAAGCTGCAAAACTTAGATTATTAAACTATTACTCCAAGTAATAAACATTACTTAACTTATACATGTTAACAACCAACAAGTAATACATTAATGCGATATTTCATAAGAAGCTTACCTTCATAAACAATTTTTTCTGTAATGACATCTTGTTCAGGAGAAGGATTTAGGATTGTTTTTTTATATTCTCTCTCTCTGAGATGTAGCTCACGAATTACTTTCTGGGAAATATTTTATGATTTACATTATTATTATTTATGAAACTACGTTTAAATGGTAGGCTTTTAATTATTTTAATATACGTACCTGTCCGTTAATAATTAGTGTTAAAAATTCTACGGTGGCCTCCAACTGAATAGTGCATCCTGGACAGATTGTTCGAGGCAATTGTCCATCATCGAATACCTAAAATTATATTTATCTAGACTGTAATGCAACATTTAGTGATATGATTTAACTTTTGCCTTTTAATCAAATTGTGGCGCGATCTGAACTGATAGAAATTTTATGACAATCGACAATTCGAAGACTTACTTCAAATGAATTAGAGAGTAATAATATTTAACTTTATGGGACTTCTCACTAATATTATTAATTTAAATAATTAATATTTACACTATTTAATGATGTAGAGATATAAAAAGATTACGGAATAAGATATGAAAATGATAATACGGTAAAAAAATCAGCCATCTTATTTTCTTTTATGTTGAAGTCAATACAAATCACAATTAATAAAATGGGAATACCTTGATTGGCAAATATGTATTAATAACTTCACTTAAGTTTGGATTATTTTCTTCACAAGAAAACAATAATGTTCCATTATCATTTTCTTCCCCACATAATCTACAAACAGTAGAATTGTAAAGAAATACTTCCATCTTTGTAGCTGCGCACAGCGCCATCTACTTCCTGGACTTTACTGTCAATTTCTGTCTTCATCTTTCCTGTTTTTTTTTCTATATTTTCATCTGACAACACCCAGAATAGTTTTAATTACTTTAGAAAGTTACCGAATTTTAATATATAAATAAACATAAAAATACCAATTGTAAAAGTTGTGTTCACTCATAATAAGTCAAGATCTCGTTGAGTATTTCTTAAACAGTGACAATACCATCAATCTTGAAGGCATCTAAATTGCCACATCAAATAATGATTTTGAATTAAATGGCAATACTGTGATGTTTTTTTTTCTCTTGAAGGTCCTCCTTTCTCGTTTAGTTCTTGGGGCAGGAAGCCGTTGTTTCGGATTTTATTATTTTTAATCGCCTTTAATCCAACAAAATGAAAATCTATAAAGATATTATCACTGGTAACTATGTTTATTGCATTGTACTAGTGCTATTGCTGCTTGTATTTCATTAAAAAAATGTATCTTTAATAAAAGTGATTTTGACATTTAGTCGGCCAGTGATGTGATGATGTCCAAATTTCTCTCTGAAAGTTTCTGCCACATCGACATTTTACAGTACTACTATCAATGGTGTTCTAAGACTTTAACATGATGTTTTCGTTTCAGGCGATGAGATGTTCTCAGATACCTACAGAATCAAACTGGTAGATGAAGTAATTTACGAAGTGACTGGCAGGTTGATAACAAGAGGACAAGGGGACCTCAAAATCGAGGGTTTCAACCCCTCAGCTGAAGAGGCAGATGAGGGCACTGATGAAGCCGTCGAGAGCGGTGTTGACGTAGTCCTTAACCACAGGCTTGTCGAAACATACGCTTTCGGTGACAAGAAATCCTACACATTATACCTGAAAGACTACATGAAAAAGTGAGTGTGATAGTGTATTACGTTTATCATTGTGATTTGCTTGTGCCAAGTTGGGATTTGCGTGACTTATTTGCATTTATGGGAATTCGGAAGGTAATTTAAGCGCTTAATTATACTTTGATTCCTAAAGGTAAGTACTATACGCCCTAAACACTGATGTTGCTCTTATGTTCATTGTCTTCGTAACTCGTGTCAGGGGGTCTTTATGATTAGCATGCTATTTTAAGGGTGGTGACTCATCCATGCAGATATATGCATTTCTTCTTTTGTGTGTTATTTTACTGCACACTGCAGTGACCATACATGAAATGATTGATGTGAATCAAATCAAGTTTGAAGTTGACTTTGCTATCTTATTTTTATTATCTATGAAGGTAAAGTTCAAGAATGTGTCAAGGGTGTTCATGATCTTGACCTACGAGCAGTAAGCTTGTTATTGGACGAGCAAATCTCACCCTTAGCCTTCAAAAGCTATAGTATTTAAAAGCATGTAGACTAAACTGGTATCTGTAAACTGTAAAAAGTCTGTTTAGTATATTTATTAAAAACAAATTTTTCAAGACAGAAATGTCACTCTTCATAAAAAATCTGAGATAGGTACTAAGTGCCCATTAAGTTTCCAAGAATCTTAGCTAATTGTAATACATATCTGCTTGCTATTTTGCTAACTTAGTAACAAATATAATTAGATACTACACTATTGGTATATTACTAAAGAGCAGCATTAGACTTTATCTATATGTTAATGACTTAAACAATTTTGTAAATAATTGTGCTTTAATGGTTTACAACATTAATAATTAACAAATCAATTAGTAACTAACAAATCTCAATGTTGATGCTTTTATACTATAGGAAGGTTACCACATGGTGGAGACATGTGCCAATTTTGGAATTGCATAAAAAAAAAGACCACATGTTGACAACTTTTAAAAATTTACTTTTTTTGTTCACAACTTAGAGGACAGGCTCTACATGTTAGCTGATATTTGTTTGCACACTAGAAATCTAGTTTAAATTGATATATAAGTTAATTCTCAACCGCAGAATGCACTCTTGTAGTTTACAATATGTTGAAAAGTCATTTCTTCCTGGTGCAAGGCAGCATAGACAAAGAGATGTTATTGAAGCTTTCTTCCATATTTAAAGATGGCCGTACTCTATCAGTAGACCACATTTTTATACATGACACTACTACATTTTTTTCAGTGATTTAAATAATTCACAGCAGAATGGGTTTTGTGTAGTTTACAGTCTGTTGAAAAGTCATCTCTTCTGTGTGTAAGGTGCACATGAGATCTACACAAAGAGTTGTTCATGAACAAATGGTCTTCCATATTTAAATATGGCCGTTTTATATCAATGAACAACATTTTGTAGTCAATAGACAACAATCACCTAGTCTGGTGATTGTTGTCTATTGACTACAAAATGTTAAATAAGTTAAATAAGTTATCTTTAATTAACCTTTTACACTTAATTTTAATGTTGTTCTTAAAGTTACAACATCTATATCTAAACAGTTTTTACTTTGCTTTCAAATGGCTTAGTATATGATCTCCTCTAGCTCCTTGTTTTAACATAGTTCTTGGTTCTAGTTTTTTGCAGTCCTTGTGAATTATTCTGTTTCGTTTATTTTTTTGCTATTTAGATATCAAAGCACTTAGTTAAATTCTCAGTTATAGTGCATGAAATCTAGTGAAATTATCATTTCTTGGATGATGGATGGATAAGTTCTATGTCCAGTACACATTTTATTAATTATTTAAATGTGGGAAAAGGACCATAAGCAGCTTTCTAAATTTTAAATCCTGATAAAAATAAAAAAACATGTCAATCATGTCGTCATAGTCGTAGAATAGTGTTGGTGTGTTTTGACAAATAAAAAATAATTCTAAATCTGTACTTATTAAAATTGGCATACAAGTGAAAAATAGGGTTTGTTTTAAAATGCAATAAAAATAACAACTAATAATTACACAATTTGAAAAAATAACATGCTTCATTTTACTTTGAGCACCTATCAAATCTGTCAGTTTACCAACTGAATAATTTAAAATCTGAAATACATATAATTTTTTCTTGAATGTTGTAATAATATTCAAAAAATGTAGTATGCAAATATGGTAAAAACAGAAATCCAAATTTTTTTTTAACTGACATTATTTTACGATCATGACAATATATTTAGTTTTTATTTGTTTACTAGCTGACCCGCGCAACTTCGTCTGCGTCTCTCAATAGTAATAAATTTTCTCCGTTTTTGAAACATTCTTCATTGGTGCTCCGCTCCTATTGGTCTTAGCGTGATGATATATAGCCTATAGCCTTCCTCGATAAATGGACTATCTAACACTGAAGGAATTTTTCAAATCGGACCAGTAGTAGTTCGTTCAAACAAACAAACAAACTCTTCAGCTTTATAATATTAGTATAGATATCTGGACTTGGCACTTTTAAATCTAGGCTATAATATAGTATACCTAGCCTATATAATATACTATCATGTTGATCTAGTATGCTATGCTTGTCTTATGTATGCTTTACTAAAGTACTGTTGTAACCTATATGTTGAAAATAATTTAACATGAACAGCTTGAAGTAGAGTACATTAACAAACTAATGAAAAATACCTTTGCATCATCTAATACCATAGGTTGGTCCTCAATATCAGCCCGTGGAGCTATTGATGCTAGAATAAAGAACTCTAGTGAAATAACACTCATTTCTATAATGTTTGTCAATGAAATGGAGATGACATCTAATTTGTAATTATATTCATTTGTCTTCTACCGGTATATTAGAACTTGATTAAATTAAAAGAAAATAAGTAAAACATGAAACAATTCTATATGTAGGGCAGTCCTAGTGTGAGTGATTGATATAACTCTAGGACTGTTTTGTTTACAAGATAAATAGCTGCATCATAAATTTACAGTATTGTGTGTCTTCTGGATTGCGATTACCATATCTTTTACACATTAATATGTTGCTGATCCATGATAATAAATTGTCTGTATTTTATCTCTTTCAGATTAGTAGCAAAATTGGAAGAGAAGGCACCCGACCAGGTTGACGTGTTCAAAACGAATATGAACAAGGTTATGAAAGACATCCTAGGTAGGTTTAAGGAACTCCAGTTCTTTACTGGAGAGTCCATGGATTGCGATGGCATGGTCGCCATGTGTGAATATAGGGACATCGACGGTGTCTCAACACCTATCCTCATGTTCTTTAAGCATGGTCTTGAAGAAGAGAAGTTTTAAGTATAATGCATAAGTGAAGGTTACTCATAAATATTCCACTCTAACACTGGCGCCTAAAATTCGTATCTTTTTTATTTATTTACAAAATCATGTCAATCTGCGCATCGGTTGAAACAGGCTTCTCCCATCACAAGGCTGAACAATTTTGTAATGTTAACAAATGTTACATACTATAAATAAATTAATGAACAATTTATGGACTTCTTATTTTATACATCCGTTAATTTTCTACCCTTCCCACCATGAACATACAGCGTGAAACTAGCATAGTAGTTGGCCTAGGACGGCGGCCGAGTCGACAGGTCATTCAACCACAGGAGTAAGGTCAGTGATCAGTACTTTTTTGCTAAATCAATACCTACATGCCTAATCGAGTAAGCGTCTGTATTAAGGATCGATGGTTCGTGCCAACTTGTTGAAAATAGAGGATTTGGACGATTTGTATCAACGAATCGTGAAAATAAAACTTACAGAATTGATGTGTATCATATAAAACTTGAACCAAATTAGCTCTTCAGAGCTGGTGCATTCCTAAGTTCTAGCAAAACCCTATGATGATCCAAACTCCAGGTGATACCAAACTCCTAAAGCTTTATTTTTTTGTTTAAAAAAAAAACCGCCCGCATTAGGAGTATATTTTCGGTCGCGGGGGACTATAAAAACTTCGTGACAAAGTGTTGTCTCATGTGGGGATCGAACCCATAACATTCAGCGTAGAAGTTAGTGGAGAGGTGACAACTTAACACACCACGCCATCCGTGTAGTCAATTAAACTTAAGTATAATACAATATTTAAAAAAAAACAGTATTAAGCCCAAACATGGTACCTATATGACGACTGGATGGCGTAGTGGTTTGTGTAACGGACTGCTATTCCAAAGGTCGCGGGTTCGATTCCCGCTCAAGTCAAACATTTGTGTGCATGAACATTTGATGTTTGATTTGGTCTGGGTGTTTCTATGTATAATATGTATGTATTTACAAAAAAAAAAAGTATATATGTATTTATATCAGTTGTCTAGTACCCATAGTACAAGCTCTGCTTAGTTTGGGACTAGATGGCGTTGTGTGTATGTGGTAGAATATATTATTATTATATGTGCTGTAATTTTCTGAGGAGTTGGCTATTTGGCAGACTACTTGATGTAGCAGCAAGTTCCAGGTGACCATGTGAAAATATTATCAAAGTAACAGTATACCAAATTTCAGATCAATCAGATCTGTGGATTTTAGTGATATCCCTTCATGGCCTAATCCAAATTTAGAGTAAGAACCATCTCAATCACATCGGCTTACCAACAAAAAAATACGCATCACAATTGGTCCATCCGATCGGGAGCTATGATGCCACAGACAGATATGTACATAGGTTAAACTTATAAAAAACTATGTGACATATCAAATGCTTATTTTATGACATGGATTGTTAGTTTGCTCAATAAATATGAAGGGTTTTTCCATAGTGGTTCGATTACTCTGCTACAACTCCTGAAAAAACCAAACCAATCAAAGACTACGACCAAAAAGTCGGAGTCTTTGATTGGTTTGGTTTTTTCTTTGATTTGTTAGTTTTTGATGGCATTTATCTTTGTCTATGACCAATTCCCAGAAGGGATTTATCAATTTCCTTTCTAGGGTACACCTGGTTCCCCGGCTACTGGTACCCGAGACGGCGTGTGGTTTTTAGTCGGTTCGAGTCCGGCAGCCACCGGTGGGGATCCGAGGAGATTTCCGCACAGAAAAAAAGGTGAAGTCAGTGACTAAAACCTATCGTTACATCATATGATTATGTTGTATAGTAGCAACTAGCTGACCCGGCAAACGTTTTGCCATATACATTATTTCCAGGAAATATTGGCAAAATTAGGGGTCACCCTTGTCATTCCCGATGTCCACACAAAATTTCATTAAAATCGACCGATTTTAATGAAATTTTGTGTCCGCCGTTTCGGAGGAGTATGTAACTAACATTGTGACACGAGAATTTTATATAAAAGATAATCTCCATTACTATAATTGACTACAGTACCTACCTAACTAACACAAAAGGTATTATCTTAGTGTATTAATCATGTACACTTAGGTTATTTGTATGACACACTAGCTTTGTATGTCAAATATCGCAGTAAATAGAAGTATATTCAAAAAATCATATTATCTCCATACCAAAGAACAATGGCAGAAACATATTTACCTAAAACTGAAGCGTTTAAAAAATTGACTAACAGTAAACTTACTAAATATTTTTTCTATGATTTATCATTATACCGCCATGTGTTGTATAAGTCTAATAAGAGATTGGATATTTTTAAAGATTTTATTTGACCTAAGTACGTAATGTCAGAATCGCCATCACGAACTGACTAGGGATGCTTGATGATATTATTATATTATGGAACGTTTTATCGATAATTGATTGTTATAACTTTGGCTTGAAATATCTATCGAAGGTTCACCTATTATGATTATGAATTTGCTTCTGCCCACGGGTTTACTCATACGCTACCGTAACTAGTACTGTAGTGACTAAATCAACCTAATTAGAAATAATTTAGAATATTTTTGACTCTTTTTAAAAGATTTTTACTACACCAAAATAAATAGAATATAGTTACGTTATTTTCCTACGGAAAAATACTAAAACAATATACTGCTTAGTGTGATGAGAAAAAGACATTGTAGGTTAATAACGGCACATAAATAGACATACATCGATATTTTTAAAATGTCGATTCGTCGTCGTCGCACTTACTAGTCTTGTCGTTTGACACTTACACGCATGACTTACATACCATTTCTCACAAGGCAATTGTAGTTTGTTTGGGTGTTTTACTTTTGTTTACTATTAAACTCTCATATATGTTTATTTTAATTTCATATAGTGTTACTCCAATATGCATGATGTGATGCCTTAAAATGTTGTGCATTAACTTCAAGAAAATGGATGCATGCTTTTAGTAAATAATGTCACAACTACTGACTGTTGAATAACTAAATAAATAAATAAATGCTCCCGCCTTGTGTAAATGTGTATTGAAGTACATTTATTCAAATTATTATTATTAATTTATTTATTTATAGCTAGTATTACACCTACTATGTAAGCGAAGATTTTTTCTATTGTTTACCAATACATGCTAAGCAAATACCCTTCCTTCCTTCACCCATTTAGAGAGTCGGCTAACACTTTCTACAGCAAAATAGGGTTGCTTATAAGTAATAATAATGATGAATAATATTTTCGAATATATGACACACAACGCCATCTAGTTTCAAACAAAACATTGACAATATTTTAGTACTTAACCTCGAAACATTCAAAAGCCAATATCTTTTTTCCTAGACTTCTTTCGCTAGTAATTTTTTTATGAGAATGATCAAGAATAAATTCTCAAGGGTTATAGGCATTTTTGATATTTAAACGCTGTCATTTCACTTCAAATAAAATTATGTATGGGGACTTGCCATTGTCCTTTCATCTAAACCGGTTCAGAGGTTATTGATTCTCCATCCAAATTCCACTGCCATTTCACCCTTTTAAAGGATGATTTCTGGGATAAAAACTATCCTATGTCCTTTCCCGGGACTTAACCTATCTCTATACCAAATTTCATCTAAATCGGTTCAGCGGTTTAACCGTGAAGAGTTAACAGACAGACAGACACACTTTTGCATTTATAATAATAGTATGGATTTATAATCTAAGCATGTACATTGTACATTATCAATTTCAAGAGTAAGTTTTTATCTAAGTAGTCGTAGTAGTAGCTACTCGTACTCTTTGTTTTTATATCATTAAATTTATGATTTTTTTATAGGTTCGGTATTTAATTATTTTATCAATTTTTTTGTGGATGTCACAGCAACTCTAAAATCCGAACTAAGAGACTTCATTTAACAATGCTATATTTCTGCTAAACAATGAGTGTTGGGGAAATGTAGTCTTTTTAAGGAGAACTTCGAGTGGTACTTAAATGCTGTGTATTGAGCGATGGTCGAATACATAGTGTGTAAACCGACAGTAGAAAAAGTTAATATCAAGTAAGCTAAAACACCTATTGACGGTATCTAATAATGTCCTCGTGTGTTGCCTTAAAAATCGAGCAGGCGCTGTGCTCGAACGGTGAGTAGTCAGATTTTAATAGTAAGCTTCCGTGTGGTGACGGATTAAGAATACGGAGTGTCACCAGCCCTATTCATCCTGTGGGTTTCGTAAGAGCGGACTAAGGGAGCAAACTACGCAGGACAACAGCGCTACAAAAGGAAGGAAAACTTGAAACAAACCCGTCTGGCCAGCGTGGTATAGTAGGCCAAAACCTCCTTTCTAAGGAAGGGTCTATGTCCAGCAATGGACTGTTAGGGGCTGTTGATGTGAATAGTAAGCTTATGGCAATGTTATCCAATGTTAATAACACTGATCATCGTTTGTTATCAAGAATGCATAGGTATTTGCACTTTTGAAGACTTAATTATGACTGATTAAACTAGTTGTAAAAGATAGACTAGGTAGGACTTAGTAGTTAGTATAAGGCGCGATCTAGTGATCGCCGCAATTTTTTGTAACAATTGTAATAAGTGTTGAGTCGTTGGCACAGATGGCGCTATTATACATTATTGTCTTACTCAACAAAATTCAGGTGCATCGAGCCTAGTTTAAAAAAACCTTTGCTTTTTGAGCGTTGTAATCTTATTGAAATAATAACTAAACCTTAAAACTGATACTGAGATCCTGGGCGTATTAGGCTTATCATGTTGACGGATACCGTTACCGATATTTAACAGGGTATGTAGGCAATAATTTTTTTGGGATAATACAGGATTGGCAACGCGCTTGAAGCTACCAAAATAAATCTACTACGGCGGGCGATCGTTTATCGTCAGGTGTGACGTATGCTTTTTTAGCCGCTTTAGTGATTCAGTGTCAGTATTCTTATTTACTTCGCTAAATACCTAAGTGAAGTGAGTTCAGGCAATACTAGACGGCGTCGGGTTAACCCGCAAACTCTTGATCATGCCATTCACAGGCCGGTAAGGTTGTTAAGGTTGTCAAATAAAATAAAACACAAATAATTTTGAGGTATGTTATATTTATCGAGTTTGTATGTATGTAATAGCTACAATAAAGTACAGAAATGACCGATGATTTCTATTACAATGTAGTGAGTAATCTAATCACAATTTTTCATATGTATTCATCATTTTTCTTGTATACTTTTTTAGGCATCGACTAGGCACTAACACATGCCTCAATTACTTAGTCTTTAATTTCTCCATATTTACACAAACAATAAACGCCAAAAAAAACTTAGGTATGTCGTGGAGGTCATTATAAAAATGGAGTAAAAAATGTGTTCCATAATCCAAGAAGACAAAAACAATGGCTCCGAAGAAATATCTAGCGATTATTACTTTATCATAAAAGCTGCTCTTGCGAACCTCAAGGCCTTATACAGATAGAAGATATCAAATTGATTTAAATAGGTATAAAACCTTTAAAGATTGGACGTGAGATTACCACTAGTGCTTTTCTGGGGTTTAGAGTCACCAGGGCTTCCTGGTAATGACCATAGGATTGGTATTGCACAGGCACTATCAATCCTATTCAATACAACTTTTAAAAGCATTTTTAGTGAATACAGAATTACTAGAATACTTAAAAAAATGCAGGGAGTTCATTATTGAATGATTTCTAATACAGAAGCATTAGAGAGCATACAAATTTCTTCTAGACAAGTTGTGGTGACTTCTTACCAGTAACATTAGCGATTACTTCTGGTTTTATTAATAGCAACTCCAGTTTAGGTGCTTTTAATTGTATTTCTTCGTGTATTCATTTAGGTACCAGTCACAAGTGAAAGCAACTTGGTAGTTTAAAAGTGTGGGGACATCCATATACATAACGGACCCATTTGGAATCAACACTTTGCAGGAATGAAAGTAACGTTGTTCCTCCAACTCAAACAGGAGGACCTTCCAACCAGGCTAGGTGATAATGTCATGTGGGACTTTGGAAGTGTTACACAATTAGGATACCATTATGAGAGTGTTATTATTGTTTATATATCTATTAAACTTGCTAAATATATCAAGAAATTCTTACGTAGATAATACTAGTAATCTCAATATCCAATTTGAATTGTTCACATTTCTGGTATTACATCAATGTAAGGCCTTAAGAATCATGCTGCCATATTATATTTGCACTTTCATAACATTCGTTATTATACATTTTTCTACAAAGTAAAAATTATTTCCGATTACTCCTAATTTTAATTATACCATTTGGTATGCCTTATTGGAATATGGCAAAGATAAATGGTGCTAATTTTGTTGTTCGAAACCTCTCTAAACTAAACTAAAAATCACTAAAAAAAAATTTTGTCCTGTCAAATATTACGTTTTTAGAAACGTTGTTTGACAGAACTAAACAAATTTTTAGTGATTTTTAGTTTAGTTTAGAGAGTTTTCGAACAACAGAATTAGCACCAATGACAGTGACAAGAAATTATTAAATACATGGAACAGCTATTTAACATTGATGAACAACATTTGATTGAGGCACAATATTGCGAATGGTATAATCTATTTATAAAAGTATGTAAACAAAAATGTCTCCATTTCGTTAATTAATTTTTGTGTGTGGTACAATGTCAGTAGTAAGCTTACATTATCTACATAAAGGATATATAGAGACAGGATAACTTCTACCTTTATTTGTTGGAGACACGCCATTTAAAACTCATCAGTCAAAGGCATCGTGAGGCAATAGACGGGATTGGATATTACAATGACTTTTCTAAGTAGATCATACCTTTATTTCACTAAGTGTTGGATTTTATACAACTATATAAGAGTAAAACAAAAATACACATCAATAAGACAACGTTTTTTTCGTCTTCAATCTTAATAAACATTACATTATCAGGATTGAGCATATAAACTTTCGAAACGTGTAGTTAATAAATAAATAGGTGCGTTTGTACCTACTCAATAAGAAGTTAAGTAAAGTAGGTATATACTCGTAGGTAGGAAATGTCGTAATATAGGATATCAGTCATTATAGCAAACAATACAATATCCTGAAATAATTTTATGATAATTTTAGAAGAACAAGATTGTATTAAATTTTATAAATATCTCAATATAGTATAAATATATTTACATTCATTATCTCTAATATGTTTCATATTGGTGTCTTATTTAACGCACACTTACTTTATGTATTTATAAATAAAATATTAAACATTAAAAGATATCATATGGAATGGTTTTTTGTACAAAATCAAATACAAAATCCACCGCACTGGTAGAAATAATTACAAATCACAATGTACTAAGGGAGGAGCGACTAGCGTGTCCCCCCGTTACGTACCACGCTGCCTCCGCGACTAGTCTATACATTGTACCGTCATCTCGAGCGAAAGTCTCACTTTCATACGTCCCTAAACCCCGAGCGTCCCATTGAAAAATAGATCGATCACTACTTAAATTTATAATTTACAAATAAGGTACTCTTTTAAAACGAATACGATAGATAGTCCTCGCTGGTCGAACGTACACCGGACCCGAAATACTAACGTCACTAACCGCTCTAGAGCACTACGTCGAGACTGACTCCGTCCATAGAAAACTTAATGGAATGAAGATTTATTGCTAGAATTACAAGATCACAAACGATTGAGATAGTTCACGCACCCTCAACAGTTAAACGTATTGGAGTGCGTGCAAGACCGCGGGTAGTCGTCCATGCCGCGGCCGTACCCATTCTCCGGGATGATGGAGTACTCGGGTTCGCTGTACTCTGTATGATCCCGTTCGTAGTCCCTGTCGTTCCGCGGGAACCCGATTATCGTTTCAGAATTGCGCAAGTAACCGTTCTCTTGCTTTCTGGAGTAGCGGGTGTCAAGGTTTCGTTGGAAGTTTTCGGGATGGCACACGACACCGTTGCGGTTATTCTTTTTCTCCGGCAAAGAGCGCAACGAGCCATTGTTGAGGTGGTGAGCCGGGGCACCATTGTTGAGCGTGAGCGGCTGGTGCACACGTGTCTCGGTGCCAATATAGGTGAAGCCACTAGCGGGAGCTGTGCCACCGCCCCCGCCGCCTCCCGAGCGCGGCGGCCGACGCGCGGATCCGTGGCCGCCAGACATGAAGAAAACGCTCGGCGAGGCGTAAAGCTCTAGCTACAGTTCCGTCACCGGAATCTGCCTGTGGGGCGGCGCGGGGTATTGTGATGGGTGGATTCCTCGCACTATGCAGTCTTCTTCCGTTGAAATAGGTTTGTGGTACTCGAGGTTCTTCCTTCCCTTGTTCCACTTATAATCTTTAAGTTTCTCCTGCATGCTCTTACGGTATCGATACATAATAAGTGCCAAAGTTGCGATTGCGGCGACACACGCGACTACCACGACGCCTATTATGGTTTGTTGTCGCGAGTCGTGAAGCACACAACCCAGATCATCAGCGCTCAAGTCCTTTAAAAGTTTATCTTTAAGATGGTCGGGGCTGGCGCAATGTAACTGTGTAAAGTTGCTTTTGCCCTTCATCAACTCTTGCAGCCACAATAGTTGACAGTCACAGAAAATAGGGTTATCGGTTAAATCAAGCTGCTTCAGTTCCTTTCCAATAAAGACAGTTTCACTTAAACTTACGATAGCGTTGTCTCTTAAAGACACATGTTTTAATTTGGGGAGTCCCAACAGTGTGCAGTCTTCTATAATAGATAACTTCTTGTTATTTGCCAAAACGATCGTTTCTAAGTTTACGTTATCTTCGAAGGCACCCTTCTCCACTCTCTCTAATTGAGAAGCGCCTGTGATATCCAGTAGCTTAAGATTTTTTAGTCCTTTAAATGAATGAGCTTCGAGAGTTATAAAATCATTTTGTCCGATAAATAAATCCTCCAATCTAGTGAGCCCAGACAACTGCTGCGTTGGCACAATGAACAATCTGTTACCAAAGAGATTAAGACTTCTTAATCCTGGAAGCCCTCTGAAAGCTAATTCACTAATATTTGAGAGACCCGCTCCATTTAGGTCTAAAACTGTCAATCTGTTAAGACCAGCAAATGCGTCATCTGGTAGAAAAGAAAATGCATTCAAGCCTACGTGTAACTCAGCGAGGCTACCTAGAAGGCTGAAAGATGTTGTTGGTACAGAACTTAGCTGATTGTCATCTAAGTACAAAATCCTCAAGGCTGACAAACCAGCAAACGCTCTTGGTTCAATTCTTGATATTCTATTCTGTCCCAAGTTTAGTTCTTCTAACCTTGGTAGAGTAGTAAAAACTCCGTTAGTAAGTTCCTCCAAGAAATTGCGCTTTAAATTCAAAACAGTCAGTGAGTTGAGACCTTGAAAAGTTGTGTTGGTTACCGAAGATATTTTGTTGTGGTTTAGATGTAGCTCCTGTAACTTGCGCTGATACGCAAAACTTTTCGTCGGTATGTTAACGAGGTGGTTCTGAGAGAGGTCAAGGTGTTGCAACTCAGCGTAAAACTGCATCGAGCTGTCTATAGTCTTGATTTTGTTGTTACGTATTATTAAACGCTGTATGGAAGGATTAAGGGCGATAGGCAGGACGTCGAGTCGGCTTTCTTCACACACTACAACAAGAGTATCGTCATTGCAGATGCACCCCGTTGGGCAGTTGGCCAGCGCCGATGCACCGCTACTCCATGTCAGCAGCTGCAGTGATATTAACAGCACCTGGAATATACAAAATGAATCGTTTAATCATATTTGACTGCACGGATGGCGTAGTGGTTTAAGCGGTCGCAACGCCGCTTACTACTACTGTGCTGTGGGTCCGATCCCCACATGGGACGACACTTTGTGTGATTCACAAATCGTTGTTCTAAGTCTGGGTGTTCTTTGTGTCCGTTTCGTGTATGTTTGTGGGGTCCCCCGCGACACAGGACTTATTCCTAGTGCGGGATTTGTTAAAAAAAAAGAAAACAAAAAAAAAATAAAAAAAAAAAATTTGAAATGTAGATTACTTATAGAGACTTATAGAGTCTTATATTCAAGGGCATTTCTAAATTCAATATGCAATCAGATTGAATCTGAGGATTTCATTATTCTATAGAAATATTACTGTACGTATGTGGTTAGTCAACACTTAATCGTGTGCCTAAATACGCCCAAATGCTGTCTCTATTCCGCCGGCAACATTTCGTTAAGCGTTCACTCGACCGCAAACGTTAGATCGGCTGTTTGTCCGCTGGAAACGTGTAAGTGATTTTGAATTACTGAGATTAGTAGGTTTCTTTGAAAACAACCGAAATGTTTATAATGCATGGCAGGTAGCTAAATTAACGGCCTTTCAGAAAAATGGAATTAATGTAAGCCAAGCGACACTACGTTTGAGCGCAAAATAAAAAATAAAAGGAATTTCAATGGGCATTCTGTTCAATTTTAATTTCTTAAATTTTTTAATAAAGGTGCTCGGGGCAGCCTTTCTACTTCAAAGACTAACGACTTTTTACTACGTTTTATCTTTTCAAAAACTAGTACTGAGATCGTTGCGCAGACTAGATTCGGTTTGAAAGTATAACTAATTCGAGTTTAAACTTAAAATAGTGCTGACAGATGCTATGCCGACCAATTTTGAAGGTGAAGTTACCAGTAGTTTGTCAGGTCAGTGGGTTAATAAGCAGTCTATGGACAAACGGAGCACGATGTAAACTCAATTTTACCTACATCTAAGACAGTACCGAGCGAGTTTCGAATGCTTGTGTAGTTGTCTTGAGAATCGGGTATTTCTAGAACACTTCATTGCTAAGACTAGGTAACTTTTAAACTTTTCTGTTGGGCTTTATTAGTTTGACGGTTTGAAAACTATATCGATTTATGACGGTAGTAAGCGAAGATTGGTTCTAGTGAAATCGATGATGCACTTCAATTCTCGCACCTCCTGCACATATTTTTGCAAATTTCGCGTTTCCGTATTTATTGGCTCCGATGGGTATTTCTAAACAAATCAGGAATGAAAATTCGATATGCGAAGTTGATTCGCAAACAGTGGTGGGCATTCTGCTCGTACCGTCATGTGCGTGAGTGAAATTTCCGCTAAAATCCAATTAACCTGGCTTCGACGTGTTTTGGACCATTTTGCGACTATCACGACGGATATTTGAGTTTTAGGAAGCAAGATTCAAAATAAGTTTATGTGAATCGGAATACTGATATGGTGACGTGTTTTTAGCAAATAGCAATATATATATACTGATAATATTTAATTTATAAATATTTTTAAATTTGATCATAATGGCGATTACGCTTATTTACTTAAACAATGCGAGAAAGCAATTTGTTTTTATTGGTTAATATTACTTTCGGCTTACTTTGACCAACTGTACAATTGCAGTTCCAGTCTTAGCGATAAACAGATTAAAATATGCTATATGTTTTATGCTGTAGGTTTTTCGTTGTTGTGACGTCATCATCAGGTTGCAAAAATTAGTATTATTGTATAATAGTAAGGCAATATAAGAAGAACACTCAGACACGGCAATAGGGTTGCTCAGTATTAGGTAAATAGGACTAAAATTATAGTGAGCAAAACGTGAGCGTTTGATGACTCTATCTATGACCTCTGACCTAGACGATCGTCAGGATCGTGCTTAGCACACATTTTTGCCTATGGTGGGACGAGCCTGGTTCAGTGGTTAGTGATCACTAACCACTAACACAAGCGTAAACCCCCTCGGGAGTCCGTGAACACTCACTATTAAAAGACATAACATTCAAAACTTAAACACAACAATCACCAATGTTAAGTTAAAAGACAATGTTTTTAATTTTGTGATTATTTCTACGAAGTTCATCGACTATTAAGTCAATCCACGATAAAGTAAGTTATAGTTTAAAAAACTAAAAAACTATAATTTATGGGTGGTTTTTAGTGGAAACACCACATACTCCTGGCTCCTGCGTCCCCTAGGAGCCGGTGATCCGATTCGAACAAAAAAAAGGTCCTGACCAGGATAATGGGACAAACTATTAAAATGATTTTAATTTAATTCGACGCTTTGAAGTGCGTTAAAATCACGTTTGAAGATTTCGTTACATACACATATATCAAGCTAATAAAAGCTTGTTAAAAAATACCATTCCCTGTGGAAAATTGCGAGGGAAAAAATATTTCGGATAATATTAAAGTGAAAGAGTGTAGCGAAGCAAAAACACGCCGTTACGTGAGATAGCTATGCAAATGCAATAATTACAGCCCCCATTGGAGAACTGCCACCAAGTGTGTGCCGAACTGGAATGAAGGGACTCTAGGCTTTTTAATTATAGACCTAACGCATGTAGTGTCAGTGCGGATGATTGGTGGGAGTTGGATTAAAAAATATATTCTGTTACGTCATATTTATGTTTCCGGAAAGGATATATTAAAACGCTTCGTCTAAACGTTCACTATGATTAATGGTTGTAAACAATGTTGGAGAAATTAATTACGTCAAGTTCTGTAATAATTTAGTGATGCAAATTCTCGACTCGTCTTATAATCATCTCCGCTAATAAAATAGAAAATACTTTTTTTTATTATTATGTTCATAACTGAATTATTGTGAGAAGATCGTCTCAAATACATAGATCAGGATTTCAATACCTGGGATCACACAATATTTGCACTTGTGTGATTGTTTTCATTTTTTTTAAATTTAATTTTCATTGCATAAAGCTTAACCAAGCTTTGTATACATTACATAATTACTTGGTAACTAACAAGGAAGTATGTATTATTTACAATTTTTCACCCAATTATAAACAACCAACCATACCCACTGTGCCACTAAGCACCTTCATTTGTACTTAAAACTTAACCCTGTAATGATCGTATGAAAACATTGTAACCATAAAAGTAACAAGGGTCTTAATAGGCCTACATACCGCGGTTCTTGATGCTATTAGATAAACAGCTTAATCCCTCGCATCCGTAGACCATCCACTAATAGATCCGCAACAATTTGAGCGCAATAACATGTGTCGTTTAAAATGCAAATGCTCCAGTTTGCTCAGCCGTGCCGATGGGGGGTTGGAAACTCAGTTTAGTAATATGTTTCGTTTGTATATAGAGGATACTTGGGTTAATAATGTTTGTACTGGCTGATAAGACTAAGCACTTGTGGTTTTAGAGCAAATATTCTTCATTTATTTGAAATTGTTGAACGAGAAACATTACTTTCTACAATCCTCATACGATTTTAGAAAGGGACGCTTGACTTGGGGAGTAAGCTGGTGAATGCGTGACGAGAGCGTTACGAAACGTGTGATCGGGTGGGGCGAACGGAAGTTGAAAGGGAGATATAAGTTAGTGAAGATAGGAAGACAGAGAGTTACTTTTTGTATATTACTATAGGGGCAAGAGAGAGAGGTGCGAGCACACATTTTCTAAAGCACCATCTTTTGTTTATTTGTGCGATATTTGCACTGTGCGTCAAACGGTTTTTACTTTCTCTTTTATTAATCTGTTTATACACAAGATGTTGTTGTATTGGAATCATTTACATTATTTCAAGTCAGTTTTATATTTATCCATAAGGCCTGATATAATAATTATGAAATTCAAACCGGAAATTTGAATGCTATTTGACGGCCTCATGTAGATATTTTAATCGGTTTATAAAACACGACTTTTAATCTTTAATTAAATTCTCTAAAAATTACGCCATTTATAGTTTACTGTCATTTTACGACAAACGATCAGTTCAAATGCCGTTAGAAAGTTTGAGATTGTTACGCAGGGACAACACCCTGACTTTTAGAACACAGCATTTATGAAGGATTGAAAAATAAACATAGTGGAGATAGGTCATAGCCCAGAATAGCCTATATATATCTATAGTCAAGTTTGCTGAAACCCCTTCAAGTTTTTAAGAATACATTCAGAGATTCATCTTAGCGACCCTCTTAGTATTTAACAAGACATCTAACTGGTTAATATATGACGAAATCGTCAGAATTCAATTAACAAATATATATATATATATATATATATATATATATGTACATATACATAACTTATGGCAGAGACATAATATATATACTACTTGACAGATAGCTAAACCAATCATCTATTAATTAATTCTGCGTGTAGTCTATTGCAGACACATCTAGTAATATGGCGGAACACGTTAATATTCGACGACACACGTAACTGCTATAATATATATTAAGTGTTTCCAAAACTACAAATTATTTGAAATGAAATTACTTAAGTCTCAGGACTGAGCTTGCACTTCTCCAGTAAATGAGGTTTGCATACAAAACCTGAAGTCGCCACAGTACTTAAAAGGATTTATCATTTAAGCTTCTGTGTACCTTTTTTTTTTCATTTTCTGTGCGGAGCTCCCCTCCTATACCACCCACCAGTGGGTGATTATGTCGGACTCGAACCGACCAAACACCGCACGCCGTCTCCAGGTACCAGTAGCCATCTACGGCTTATAGATGACCCCTCCTGTGTGGGAACCCGGATCTTCCCTTCCTGCCCCGAAGGGCGTGTGCGCTCCGTAGCTTCTGTGTACCTATTTTTTCTTGACTGTGTGTTCTAATTCCGAGTTACTAAGTTTGAATTTCTTTATTGATATTCTTAGTAATGCTTATTCCCTAATAATTAACTAAAGTCTGTGATTAGTAAGATAGAAGTACTTCCTTGACTTGTGGTCTCACTCCAGACAGACTTTGATTGCACGGATGGCGTAGTGGTTTAAGCGGTCGCCACGCCGCTTCCTACTATGCCGAGTGTTGTGGGTTCAAACCCCACATGGGACGACACTTTGTGTGATCCACAAATTGTTGTTCTGAGTCTGGGTGTTCTTTGTGTCCGTTTCATGTATGTTTGTAAAGTCCCCCGCGACACAGGATTTATTCCTAATGCGGGAGTTGTCTTTTTAAAAAAAAAAGAAAAAAAAGAAAGGGAACTAATTTATCATAATTCTCTTATTGTTTATAATATTTGTGTACAAGAATGGTGACTTTCTTGATTTTACAATTAGAAAACGCATCCCAAATGCCAAGAGAAACAACAGAAATTAAAACAGCCAATATTTACTAGGATTTGATCATGCTGATTGTAAACATCCACTTAATTAACTGATACAAACGTTAATTTCAACTGTCATAATATTGACATCTGTCTAATTAAGCCTGTTGTTGAATATACCCGTATAAAAGTAGGTATTTCGACAAACGGCCGCGGCGGAAGGGTTAGTAACATTCAAAATAAACTGCTGGACAAAAATAAATCATGCTCGGCGATTTGTTTTGATAATTTAAATAAGCTTTCTTATTATATAACGACGTCACTCATGCCTATAAGCCGGTGCGAGGGTTGTTCGATTACATAATATATCTAATTCCCACGTCAGGATAAAATTGGAATCTTTACCGAACTTATTGGTCATATTACGGAAATTGAAAATCCAATAAATATGTACGTAAAGTAAAATGGCCGCTGCTGCTGCAGTCGGCTGACAATAACAGAGTTCACGCGCTATTAGACATCCCGCGAATATTTGCGTTTCGGCCGCACACAGTGACTAGTCAGAACTGACATTGGATTTGCAAAATTTGACTTTGAAGGCAGAGACCTGGTTATAGTGGAGTTTCAGTACTGTCCGCTTCATTTGTCGCTCACAAACGGTGGTTAAATGAGTGTCGCGTATTATGCAGATTGCAACGACGCGCGACGCACTGGGGCGATGGCGGCTTGCCTTGGTAGAGGCAGAATAATAATTGTTTGATCTATTCGGAAAATTGTTAATGCAGAATGATTATAGGTCCCTTTTTTATGTTATTTGTGTTTAATGGAAATGAAAACTAATAGGGGACTGTTGTGATAAGGTTTTTAAGCTTTTAATAAAGTAAGTAAGACTGTGGGGTCGGACTTGTAAGTATGGTTGTGGGTTCGAACCTCACCCAGTGCACTGCCGACGTGAACCGACTCCTAATACAAGCTTTAGGTACGCTATGTCTCGGTTGTGTTATTTAAAAACCTTCTGACACGACACAAATTTTACAGAAGAGCCAAAAATCGAGATTTTGACTTTAATGAGACAACATGGACATGCGAAATAGATCAAAACTTGGCTTTATGTAAACTTCAACTACTATTATTACACAATAGACCACGTTTAGTGCACTCACTAAATATTAAATTGCTTTTTAAACGGATTAAGCCCGTTTAGCAAGCAAGGGAAATCGATTGTTAGCTCTTAACTATATTTAGTGCTAGCTATTTTTTATAAATGTTATTTGTTTTAATATTGCTACGTTGTTTGGTATTATATCGTCGTTTACAATATAGTACCTACTTCGTTTATTTAATGCAAATCGATGCTTAGTAACTTAATCTGCTAAATGCGAACGTCTTTTTCCAGTGGAAACTTCTTTATGCGTGTTGAGCATTACAACAAACAAAAGAATGTATTTTTTGAGATGGGAACAAGCCATTGAACACCTCTGTATGTAAGTATCTAGATATATTGGCCCCATTTACACGATGGTTGAGTTTGGGTTGAAATACGTACATACATGAAATAATAAAACTATATGAAATATAAACATATATTATGATACATGAACATAGATATATTCATGTCAGAACTTTTTGAATCGAGAAAAGACAAAAAAAAAACCTGTTTTAATAAAAAAAATTGAAACTTTTAAGTTTTCACTTCTGTCGGCACTGCCTTAGTGCCACTGTTTTTTTTTTCTGGCAACTGTCCCTTACTAGTCTTAAACAAATTAGGTATGGGGCGTTTTATTTACGTTGCTGTATTAAATCGATAACAGATTTTGATAAAAAAAGTGTGAGATGCGAATTATAATTTGTCTATCTCTGTCATTGTTTAACATATTCGTTCGAATTATATTAATATTGAATGTTATCGATAACATAACCAACAGTTAGATGGTATAGAGCTGAATTTTAGTATTTTAGAATTTGGTAATACAGAATGAGCAGGCGTGATACTGTGGATTAAAACAGGCCTGATAGGGCAGAATGTAACAAGCCTGCTAATAGCAACGCAGTAGTGATTTAATTCGCGGGTATAAATTACTCCCGGCCATTGTTTACGAACGTAATTCATTGAACATACTACATCACAACGTTATCAATATTTTCATCGAAATTTATTGGCGTCCCGTAATTGGTTAGCTGTAGATCGCGTAGTTTTCACTGGGAGAAGGGAATATCGTTTTTTGGCTCGTACATGTCCAAAAAGGATTTATTACAAAAAGAGACATTTATTGTTGAGTTGTACATCTCATATTTTCGGTTTCAATATTACCATATCACATTTAAAAGTAACTGGGTGATAGGCAATTCTCCCTATATTGCGGTGGCTTCGTCCGTTGATAACGTCATTCCTATTTTCTTCATTCGTATTTCGTAGGAACTAGGTTTATTTTTCGTTATAAAATATTATTAAAAAAGGATATTACTTTTGTTATTCCGAAATCCACAGTCAATAGCCACGAAAAATCAGTACTTACAATATATTACGAAGTTTGTTGCAGAAACATCACATAAATACCGCCTCTAATTTCAATGAAATAAATTGCAATCTTAATTAGTCTAGTAATCGATTCATGTGAATAATTTGCTACGTACAATCTATTACGTGCTATATTACAATTTTCGAGGTCATGTTTTGCTTTCATTAATTGACTTTGAGACTAAGTTCACTGTGGACGGTTCATTAAAAAAAATATTTTCTCTTATTATTCTTTTTGGCATAGGGTTACCACTTGTATTTATTTATATTTTATGTAATTAGTGTTGTATAGGATTGCTTTATAGCTTAGGATTGTTTTTATAGCTGTGAAAATTAGTAAACGAAAGCTGTTGTGTATTTCAGAGTTAAAAGTATGTTTTCTTTCTTGTATATATTGCTTATATTCTTCAGTTAATACGTGTTTTAAAGCACATTTAAGTAAAACAAGCTTGGTGATGGCAGCCCTTTTTATTGGCCAAGGTTTAGAGGTGCTCATATACAGAAATTATTTCCTATATTACAAGACTTAGACTAAGTATTAAATAAAAGTAGTCACACCATTTATGCTTAGAGTTGTTCTACAGTAATTAATATAAGTCATAGCCACTTGGCTAGACGCCCTAAATTAATCGGTTACCATAGGGATAATTAATTATAGGTCTAAGTCTAAGAAATTGATAGACGGTATTATTAGTTTAGAATATAACTAGTTAAAAACTCGTTTAAGGTCCGTGTGGTGACGGATTGAGAATACAGAGTGTCACCACCCCTTTTCATCCCGTGGGTGTCGTAAGAGCCGACTAAGGGAGAAAAATACGCAGAAGAACAGCACTGCAAAGAGAAGGAAAACTTGACACAAACCCTATACGAACCCGTCTGGCCCGCGTGGTATAGTAGGCCAAAACCTCCTTTCTAAGGACAGGTTTATGTCCAGCCGTTTACTATTAAAGGCTGTTGATGTGATGTGATGTGAAGACTAGTGTCATAAATAGGATTGTCAATAGTGTTGGTTATATTTATAATAATAGCTTAGCCTAGCCTAGCAGAGCTGCACTATTGTAACCAAACTGCTGATAAATATACTCAATTATCATCACACAATTATTTCTTCTGAATAGGAATCAAACCCTCTACCGCTTTCGTAGATTTCTCATGGATGGAAATTAATAAGTACTCAGCTCTGTTAACGGTGAGTGTGGTCTCCAATAAAACTACTGTCATTATAGCAGAAAGTAAATATTTACCATTAAAGTATTGGATGTGAGGACGGCTGCAAGCTGCCGTGCAAACCGTAGTGGTGGCATCTGGAATTTAAAAAAAAACCCTCGTTATTACATTTTGTTACACAAGCATTTACACAGATCTACTAAATATATACTGAATAACAATTTGACATATACTAAAAGTGCAAATAACAATTTGACAATTCGAACAGCTTCCAGAACTGACTTTGGTACCTAATCGATTTAATCATCATGGTGAAAACTATTCCGACTGCCGATTGAAAATTCATTCTTAAAATATTGTGGCAGCAACCAGACACAGCATTGAACAGAGCTGCTACATAGACAGACACTTATTCGATTTATAATATATATGCATACATATGGTTATTAAATAACAGTAAGGCTTGCCAGTCATATGTAGAAGATCAGAACATAAGATAAATACCCCAAATCTGTTGGCAACATTTCATTAAATAGCCGCAATCTTTGTATGAGATGTTTGTTCACTAGAAACGTGTATGTGAATTGAAAAGATTTCAATTTCTAAAGTATGTACTTAGATTCGTTTGAAAACAACCAGAATGTTTGTAACACGCAGTAGGTAGTTTGATGGCCTTTCACTAAAATGGAATCAATGTAAGGCGCGGGCTGTACCAAAGGACGCAAAAGAGAAAATACAGGATATTGAAATGGGAATTTGCCCAGTTTTAATTTATTAAAATGCGCTCCTTGGAGGCGCTCGGGCCAGCCTCTGCGCTTCAAAGACTACCACTTTTATTGCGTTTCCTCTTTCCAACAATTAGCAGTGAGATCGTTGTGTAGGAAGATTCGACTTTAGAATTACAAAGCCCGTTTTAATTCTGTTATAAGATTGCTGATGGATGCAACGCCGACGATCGCCTTACTTTAAAAGACAAAGCTAGCAGTAGTTTGTCGGGTAAGTGGGTTTATTAGCGTTCTATATAGAAGCGGCGCAAGATGAAAACTCAATTGGACATCCAAGATGGCACCGAGTAAGTTTCAAATGTTTGCGTCTGGCTCTTTGCGAATCAGTTATTGCAATAAGATAGTTTGCTCTTTTTTCTATTGCTTGTAAATATTAAAAGAGTTTATAAAATTGGTACTGGATGATAGGTTTTAGACTAAACCCATACCTGATTTCTGATTGAATTTGTAGCTAATAGAGAACGAAGGAAGGACAATGGCCTGAGGTACGTTTGTAGGAAATCGTAAAAATGTTATGCGATTTTAAAACAAAACCATTAGCCATTTACGCGCGCTTTGAACAGTAATTTGAAAAACTTAAAGGTTCCAAAAAAATATTAAATTTTATTACTTCATATCAACAGCCATTTACAGTCCACTGGAAATGGAAATGAACCTCTCCTTAGAAAGGAGGTTTTGGCCTACTATACGACACCTGCTAGACGGGTTGATATAGGGTTCGTGTCAAGTTTACCTTCTCTTTGCAGTGCTGTTGTTCTGCATAGTTTTTTCCCTTAGTCGGCTCTTACGACACCCACGGGATGAATAGGGGTGGTGATACTATTTATTTTTACCACGCGTACCACTTATGTATTATTAACCATGATATATGTAATAATTTAAAAATTTGGTATGCATAAACTGCTACCAGTAGTTACGTGTCTTTAGTTTAGTTTTTAAACACCAATACAGAATTTTGTACAATATTAGAGTAACGAAAGTATAGACTCACACAAATAAGAAATCAAATGATAAAGAAAATATTCATTTCGTTTGAAAAATTTAACAAGATTAGATTAGCGCTTATTTCAAGGCTTGCAATGTGTATTAAAAATAAAGTACTTCTAAACAAAGACGAATACGATTTCCTACTCAGTCTGAAACGTATAATTCTTTAGTTTGTACTTCTAACGGTTAGATTCACGCTCATCTCAAAGAATGAATTTTCATTCCTGGAATGTATCTACAAATATTTAATATCTAGAACCTCTTTAAAATCTAAAAAACTATATAATAACAGGGGTGTTTACCATGAAACTATTGCATACGATTTGAATTCCGAGCTGCTGTCCGACACGAAGTGGTGACATCTGAAAATAACGAAAATACCAATATTATTACTAATAGCAGCAAGTATTTAATATTATTATTATAAATTGGTTATTCTATTAGTTTAACTTTTTGCATAAAGAATTGGCTGGTTATTGAAACTTTTACATAAATCTAAGAACCTATGAGTTATTCATTGATCGAAAAACGTTCGTAAACGCAGGTAACATTGGTGATAGGGCTAAAATTTGAGATGTGACCAAATTTCTAGTTCTAATGGTTAAAGGACTCCTATTGGCTGTTATAAAACTATAATTCAAATAAATATTACCGTAACAAATAATGTAATGCATTTTCTGCTTTAACGTTGTGATATGCTTAATTATATAAGTAAAGAATATAAAATTCTGGAAATGGGGGACGAAAACAAACTAGAAATGAAAACGCCACTGAGAATAGAATAACTAAATAGAACATTGCCAAAACAAAGGGAAAATATTAGTTCAAAAGTTTTCTTTTAAAATTAAGTATGCTTATGTCATACCTATGATTTTATTTTGTGTCCTTAATAATACAGAGTTTATAAAAGCACTTTGAGATCTCTAGGTATTATTTAAACTGCAAATGCTTGTTAGAACTTATAAATTCATTGAATTTCCTTCCTCTAACTTGAACGCACACTTTAAATTGCACGGCACTTTCCCAGTTGTACGTTCCCAGGTAACCTGCGATTATGCCCTTAGCCTATATTTATGATCATTTATAAGTATTCCATTAAACCGGCCACTATTCCCTATAATTGTAAGCTAGACCGGTGAACCGGTCATTTCCGATTCATGGGTTTAAGGCTAAGTTTAATGCGCTTAGAATTTCTTAGACGTAGAATGGATTGTTAAGTCGTACTGTTTGTACGTAGTAACAAGGTTTCCTGCGTTATTTGTCAGTTTTTTAGATTTGTAGAAACATTTCTTCAAGCAAAAAAACATTTTTTTTATTATATTGTAACCATTTACAAATTATGAGTTGAATTATTGTTTATATTTTGAAGTTAACAGTGTACTGGTATATTAAATTAATTTAAGATATCGAACGCCAAATAAAACAATAATTTGTTTTAGTCTTATAAAATAAATCGTGTCAACAAAAAAGCTTTCAAATTCAATATTAGGAATACGTACGTATGCAATAAATAAATACTTTGTCCAGACACAACACAACGTGAATGAGTCGCTTAAAAGAGGTTTCGTATGAACTTCGTCTTAAAAATATTAACAATGTAAAAAAAGTTCAGTAGGTAGGTTAACAATTGTGCAAATTGTAAGGTACAGTTATGATTGTTTAGCTATGATTTAGTAAAGAGTAGTTATTATTAGAAGCTTTAAACTCTCTGACTTTTGTGCATACAAAGTAAGATATTCTAATAATATGTTTCGGACTTCGCATTGATTGGAGTCGTAGCGAAATGATATATTATGTTGTTTTTGTTTGGAGTACATATAATTTGAATGGTAATCGTATTCGACTTTGTAATGGAGTGCTTTATTTTTTATCAAATATGTTGTATGGTTTTAAAATTGCAAGTCAACGACTACTCCGCCCATCACGACTATTACTAGTGATACCTCTTTGAATATTTTTTTATTCATAATTTTTATTACCAAAGTGATATGCTTGTGACATGAGTGGAGGAAGGAGAAGGAAGAGACTCTACTAATAAGAAACACTTTAGTATGGTTTTGTTAGCTTCTGGAAATCTTACTTTAAAGTTGGGTATGAAACAAATATGTTTAAGCGTAAGAAAATAGCTACGTAATGTTTCAGACAGAATATACAACCACTTTCTACCACGTCACATTTTGTCTGCAATAAAGTCGTTTCTAAAGTGAGATAGACATATACGGAACACAATTGGGTAACGTTTATTTCATATCAGTTAAAAGCAATCTGGAACAATTCTGTATTCGGTTCGAATTACTATGCGGCGGACATTCTGTGGGCTGTATCACGCTCATTAGTTAACGTGCAAAGCCTACGGATGACGCGGGCAGTAGGCGCCAGGCTACGGTTCAACTACGCAATCCACCGACCAAGTTCGCAAGTTAAACTTTAGTTGGTTTGTTTGTTTGCGGTGGCAACCACCCCGCTCGTTACAACAGTGAGTGCGCAAAATTTCCTCTAAAAAGTAATTTGCTGAGTCACTCCGCCTCCAATTTAACAGTCAGTATTTGTGAAATGCAAAACAAAATGGTGGTAATGACTGCGCTAGTTTTAAAATGTTTCTGAAACCTTTTGTAGCGGCCTTAAGTGTTTATATAGCGTTAAAGGAGGTTTTTTAAAATTTTTAGTATGGCTCAAACTGGAAACGGCAAGCAAGAATGTTGAACTTTTGGATACAATTTTTTAACAGAAGTTCTCCCACTGACTTATTATTTTAAGTACTTAATATCGTCTGTGTATAAATATGTTTTATATAATCTAATCTTTAGCCGTGCAGAAACGTCTTGTCATCTCCATGTAAATGGAGGGACAACATATGTAAACATCGATGATAATCTGATATGTGATTAAGGTATATTAACATTTGTAAATACGTACTCAGTTATTAATGGAAAACAGTGTTCTCATTTCTTGAGATCCTTATGTTGACTGAATATATTTTACGGACAATCTGACAATAAGCATTCATGAGCGAGAACAGTCACAATATTCTTTTATCTTCGTATGGTATTAAGGACGTATAAAATTTACAGAAAACAGATAAGATTATTTCCGAAACCCGTATCTCTCACATTCCGTCTCGATTCGTTTCGCAAATAAAAGTGTACGACACGTCTGTATACATTTAAAGTAGTGATTTCTGCGAAAAGAAGGGTGGTTTACCCCTTTCTAAGAAGATATTGTTAGATAAAGTAAACGCGTTTTCTATCGGAAAGGAGACAGTGTTTACAAAAACCCTTTTAAGGGAGGTATGCGACCTCTGAGGGCCTTTGTGGAGGGTGTCCATTGCCCGCCGACCTTTCAGAAGAGCTCCTTACCTAAAAAAAGGATTCTGTGTCTACGATTTACTAAGGCTTGGTGAATTCGCAATGAAGGGTTGAAATTGATTTAGTTAATGCTGATAGTAGCAAGAATTACATTTTAGTTTTGCAATCACACTAATTCCAGGATCGTTTTAAGTTTGCTTTAATGAAATTCTCGCTATTTTTGACACTTAAAGTTGGATAAAATATAATGTTTCATTCGAATATCACAAACTTCTGTATTTGGCGCTGATCCAGGAGCACTCGCTACATTTCCCGACTGTTTTGCTACCTATTAAAATGATTAGCGGCGATATTCTGTACCATATAATAATCCAATTGACTTTATAATTGATTCTCTGTGTTTTATAATCCCAACTGTAAACAACCATATAAAATATTTAATGGCACGTAATAATTTTATTTTATCAGCCTATTTTGGTTACCATTGTACATTATTATGTATTAATTATTACCAGCAATCAAAATGAAAGCCACCGCTGTAGGGATTGAATACCTTAAAATGACAACAACAAAAATATTTGCTACAAATAAAATGGCGCGTAGCTTGATATTCCTTTTTCAAATACAGGGCAAAGACAATGAAAACAAGTCTCGATACGGGTACACATTGTTTAGATTTCTTTTAAAGTACAATGATAGAAAGCTTTAGTACTTTAGTTTTCTTCAGTTCTCTTTAGAGTAAGTAAAATATTGACGTCGGCTGTTATACCAAGTAACCAGAAAAGGTTCGGTCTTTAATAGCCATATTTTATTTGGTACGGTAGTAATCGATATAAAAAAACTAAATTTAAGTGATATGAAAATAGGTTTCATTTTAAATGTTTTTTTAGATTTTATAAGTAGTTCCTTTTTATATAAATGTGGATAAGTTTGGCTATTTTGTCTTAATTCACAAATAAAAAATAAATATATATTTGAATCAAATAGATATTTGAAATATATATAGTAATCAATTGTTGTGTGATATTTATTTGTGAAGTATCTTAAAAAAAGGTCTACAAAATTATTTAATTTTATTAGTATTGTATCGTATTGTAATTTTATTATAAGTATCTCGTAAATAAATCGATAAGAAGATTTTGTCTGTATCTTTAAACAGGAAGCAAGCTATTAATGTATATTTTTTATATTATTTATAACACAAATGTCTCCGTAATAATTTTAGTATCTAACAAACTTTAATAACGCATTTCCATTACCTACCACGGTTTTTTTATTAATTCTATAATGGCCGTATTTCAATACGGCCATATATCCCCTAGAACCTTATAAACATAAATAACGCTTACACAAAATACATTCAATTAACCCTAATTCAGGTGGATGTTTCTAGTAATGGTGATTACGGTACAACGCTGCGTTAAGATACAAACCGTGCGAAACTACAACAAAACATGGCTATTTTAAATTGTGAATTTAAAATGTTAAATAAACATTAAACTCTACAGTGTTATAAATATTAATTCATAAACATAAATTGCATATATATTGTGACCTATTATGCTTGCTATAACTTTAATAGACCTAGAGACCCTCGCGTAATAAGCATGAATTTAAATCTTGTTACGTTAAATTAGTTCAGTCATTTAGCATTTATGAGGGACGCACATACATACATAACATGCATAAATATACATACATACATATACATACAGCAATCATATAAAATATATAAAACAGATTTTATACAAAAATATCCACAAATATAAATACTGATACATACGAGTACTTAGATCGTCTATGAGTACTAAATAAAATAAGACGCTATTTTAATTTTCCATCAGTAAGTAGAAACTAAGATAATCTTGACACGTCTCAAGGACACTCGAATTCGCATTCAAAATTGAAAATCCCTCACTACGAAGCCTCAAAGGTTTCGATAAAGACGTACACGGTTTCTTGTCACGTCTACGTGATGGAATAGAGATGTGCCAATCGATCGAATGAAACGCGAGTTATTCTATAGGCGATTAGATTTAATCTTAATATTATATGAC